GCATATACGCGCTTTATGTGCACGCGCATGTATTGTGTACACTTGTACGTTCATACAACCGGTGTCTCGAGATACACATTACGCCACGGCGGGCAATGCCGTACCAAGAAAAGAGTTTCCCGACGTTCCCGATCGATGTTATAGTCTCTATTTTTAATATTAATATAGTATTACTGAGATATCACACGTGAGAACTATAGCGATGCGAGAGAGACGTAAGGTCTTCCACGTGATCGATATCGGTCGTCTCGATATTAATATTAATATCGAATGGTCTCACCGAGTTCTTTTTATCACGTCAGCATTTCGCGGTCTCGACGATGATTCGACTTATCGTAATTTTTATAATTTGAAGAAATACGATTTTTTTATACTTTTATTCTGAATATTTATGTGCTCGTCGTACGATGATAAGCGCAATTTGAAAAAATAGTAATTGATTCGTTTTATATAAGAGATTGAGAAAAGTTGTTCAAATATGAAGACCAAAAATCGTTTCCCTTATTCATAATATAATAAATTTTTCATATGAAAATTTGTACATTATAATGCTTAATAACATCCAACATTTTTGCAAATTGGGATTTAATTTATATTGCCTCTAAATACTGCGGAAAAATTTTTAATCTGGGAATCTATTCGGGAATACTACAAATTAAAAATTTACACATGCTTACAAAAATTGTTAAAGGTTAAAATTTCTATCGCAGCATTTTAATTTTTCATTATTTTTTAATTATAAGCCAAATATGTATATTAATAATTAAAGAAAGATAATTTAAAAAAAACGGGTATCGAAATTCAGTCGCATATCATCAAAAATTCAAAACCTATCGATAACTACAGCAATTCTACAAAAAAAGGATCGATTCGAAATTAGCTAAAGAAATGCAAAAGTACAATTAATCTAAGACACTCTGTATATCTAGATTATGAGTTTAATTTAAATAGCTGTCACGAAAATAGCCAACGCCGAAATGTGATATCTGATGAAAGTGTAAATGAAATACAGAAAATACGTCAAAGTAAAACAAAGAGGTTAAAAAAAGCTGTTTAAATATGAACAGTTAAAAGAGAACAGTTTAAAAGAGTTATAGGACTGACGTCTGAATAATTACGAATAGTGTAAAGAAGAAGAAGCTATACTTGTATCTCATACGTTTTCTTGGTTCGTTCGATAGACCGTGGATTAATTATTGGTCAATTACTTGGGATAATCAGTCATATAATATTTTTTTGATGTTACTCGACCAGCTATAATTTCGATACGTGCGATAATTTTGTCACACACAAAACAATGTTTTTCACATGTTGTATATACACAAGCTGATAAAAAATGGCTCAAGAGCACGATTAACACATGTGTGTTGTTTTCTCAGGTGAATCCGCGACGCATTTTATGTTTCTAATAGCTATTTGAATCTTTTTTTGGATCTGGAGCATCTCATATTTGCGATTATTCTTTCTTTTATTGTGAAATTATGAAATCCTTGGATTTGTTTTTTTTTATTTTAATTAATTGATGTACTATTAGATCTTTCTATTGATCTGACCAGAGGAGATAAGATTGCGTTATAATGGCATTGACGCACTTACACTTACATGATAATCAATTCCGAAAATTTAATCGACTATTCTTCGATGCTTACGCGTTGCTTACGTAGACAGGAAATATAATTCCTAAATAAACTGAATGAAACTGTTTTTAGTAGTTTGTGACGTAATTTTCGTCTCTTATCCTTTATATATACGCGTTTGGCTCTTAGTCGAGATGAAGATGGAGTTTTAAAAAAAAAAAAAAAATAGGAGAGCTGACTGACAAATATTCTTATTAATCTTTATATATACGTTCTCTAAAATAGAATAATGTAATTTGTCTAGAGATTGCATCGCTTCAAGCAAAAACAATTTTTGAAAAGCATTTGTACAAAACTAATTGGACAGGAAGATATATAGTTATTTTCAATAATTCATATTCGACATTTATTTTTTTTTTAATATAAAAATATAATATTTTATATCGGAGTCCAATTAAATGGCATAAAAAAGAATTCAATGATTTTAAATTGTAAAGAGATTCAAATCCTAAATCGCTTCCCGAAAACATTAAAAAATTTTAAGATCTTTGGTATATTTAAAAAATCTTAAGTTTTCCGAAAAAAATAAATAAATAAAAAGATCTCAGAATTTGAAAACTCGAAAATCAAATATGTGTCAAAGTTCGGAAAATTCAGGGATCTAATTGAAAGATTCTCAAGAACCCATCCAGCACATCCAAAAAAGATCCAAACATTCAATCAATCTCCTCGCCCTTTGCTAGAAAGTTCACGTAGTGCGTTTGCGTGGTCATCTACTCCGTGTACCAAAGATAGAGTCTGACATCATACGCACGGGCATCAGTTGGATCGAATGAGCGATAAACATATGTATTATACGCGAGATGTCCTCGTATATGCGGAAAGTTCCAGTTTACCACTCACACACTGTCGATCATTCGATCGATGCACTCATTGATGTTGCAAACATATGATCATCTCCTCGTGTCTCTCTTTTCTCTCTCTCTCTCTGCTTTTTCTCTTATTTTTTCCCATATGTCATATATTACACTCGTATACGAAGAAAATTTTTTGTTAGAATTTACCCTGAATTAAATTAAAAATTATGGTAATCGTAGGATAATATGGAACTGAAAGAATTTTAGAAGAGTTTCTCTGATTAATATTTACAACAATAAAAAAGATTAAAAAATATTATGTACATAGTAAAATTAATCGAACATATTTTATTGTGGTAAATATTAGTCGAAGAAACTCATAAAATTCTTCCATATTGTCCCACGATTACCATGATTTTCAGAGTAAATTCTAAGAGAAAATGTTCTCTGTGTACAAAATATATATCCAAATTATCTTTATTAGAACATTATGGCCTTCACTGACAAATAACACTTTTTAGTTTTAATTATTTATGTTAAGATAGCGCCAAAATCTCAGGGTAAATATTTGTTTCTCCTCTCTTCTTTTTTTACGAAATATCATGCAAAAATGTTGATATATGTACACGAATAGTTGAGTAATTGCGAACTTAATTTGCGTTCTATCGCGCTTTGAAGATATGTAATATCCGCGAAAATCCAAAGATTTATAGATAAGAAAGACACACAGATTCTCAAAGATAAAAGATACTTGATATGCTAAAACAGCCTAATAAAATCATTGTTGATTTCAATAAAATCATTAAAAATTCATAGTTTCATAACGCGCAATTAATATTAATCAATGTGCATATACGCCGTGTATATTCGGCGATTCACAATGATGATTAAACATCGCTAATCATCATATCAGTTATCTTTACTCATGACGTCAGAATCAAGAAAACAAATAAAACAAGTTTCAAGTTCCTTGAAACAATTAATTTTTATTTAATGAAACTATTGCGTAGCATGATAAAGCAGATTTATAAAACATGCCAGAAACTTTATCATTAAACCAACATATTACATTCGTAAAGAGAGAGAAAGAAAGAGAGAGAGAGAGAGAAAATAGATAATTATTTTTATTTTTCTAATTGTAAGATAAAAGTATAACTTTATACTTTCTGAATCTTCCGTAATTTTTTCCATGCCTTGTTTCTTGCAAAAATTGAGGTACGCATATTTTATAAATTTACTCTATCGATGGTTTAAAGTTAAAAATTGCAATTATGTCGACGTATTATTTAAATATTGATTTAAGTCAACGATGTGAGATTGTGCTAGGCAAACAGAAAGTTCGCACTTTTCGCGATTTTTCAATAGTTTCGATTCGTGGGTGCCTATCACCATAGAGAGTTTATTGTTTGCCGAGAATAATAGCGATTTACGAGCTCGGATACGGCAGCTTATAGTAACACGTAACACCCGCTGCTGCTGCTGATAAGACGTCTTTGTACATATGTACTATATCGGTAGAAACGTCACGAAACCAGCCTGATAAAATACGATTCGCTCAAGTACGATGTATAAGATAACTGCTATATAGTGTGTCTTGCAATTATAAACAGAATGAGCTTCTTCAAAGCTTCGAAGTGACGTTCAAGAGTTTTCCTCTCGCGCAATTTTTCATTAAACTTTTCAATTTACTACACAGATCAAATTATAATTATATTTTATAAATTCAGTTGACATAACTGATATTTTAGTAATATATTTAAAATTGTCATATGTTAAAAATTTATTTGTGACCACGTGATATTGCGTATTTTTATATCAAATATCATAAGTTTTGTGGAATTCGATAAATACGCATAATAATGGAAAAGTTCGATAAAATTTCAAATGTAATTAAAAAATTTAATACATTTTTTTAAATCTCTTATAGTCAGAAAATATATAACGGCAGATTATAAAGAGGAATTTTTTCATATGTGAAATAAAATTGATATTATATAATTTTTAATACTTGTGCGCGATGGAGATTTCATATTATTTCCTTAATGATGATATATCGGCGAAAGAATTTTATCAATCATTTTATAAAAAATACAAGTTATTCTTCCAAGGAAAATTATGATTTAATAAGTAATTGTTTCATTATGCCACAAATTTTGAATAATAATTTTGCATTTTTTGAAAAGTCAAAATATTTTAAACATTTAAAATTTTTAAGAAAATCTAAAATAATTCAAGAATGTTAAAATCGAAAAATATAATAAGAATATTTTATATAAATATTCATAAATATTTAAATGTTCTTGACTATAAACGATATGACGATATAAAAATAATAACGATATAAAAATTTTTAAATGTGAGCAGAAGAGAATTGGAAAAAGAATCTAAATTGAAGGATCTTATTTAAAATTAAAAAATGTAAGAATTTAATGAATATTGATGTACAAGAATATTGCCATACCGCATGTATTACCAGAAATAAGGGATTTAAAAATCGATAATTATAATAAAATTTAAAAACTGTCTAGTTTTTATCTTATTATAAATTTAATAAGAGATGACTTACCGTCGATGGGTCGGAATCGAAATTTTTTGAGCCTCGGTAATGTCGCAGGAGAACAGACTCTCGTCAGAACTGGCATCTCGTTAACTTCTCTGGGTGACGATCGACCAGAAATTCCGTCCGAAAATGACTTGAGCTCCGAAACAGCCGCACGCTTCGGCGATTTCTCTGTGATGCCAGTGGCCTCTGCGAAAAAAGAAAAACGCAAACGTAAGTATATACATATCCTTTGTTTGAGTTAATTGACTGCGTGCAATCTCCTGACGTGGACGGTGGTGCGTCATCTCCAAGTGTCATCGTATGTGTACTCGAACGCGCGCGCTACGTCATTATTCCAGTATGCGGATTGCAAAACTTTTCGACATTGTTTAACCGCGACAGCACTTTTTTAAATAACCAATGGCAAGATCATTGCACAGCGATATCTATATTTTTCATGAACCAACAGATATGTCAGACAGATACTTGATATGTATCTACATAACTTTCGTCACTGATCTTTTCAGCGTAAATCAATAAACAAATTATCAATATTTAAATTAATTATTCTTGCTAACAATAAATAATTTAGTCAAGAACATTGTGTTAAAGATTATAACTTGGCTAAAAAATAATTTGCTGCTTTATATTAATATACATGTACAAATATGTATAGAAGAAAGTTCTGAAATTTTCAAGAAATTTCTTATACAATTTTTGATAATTTCTTGTTACTTAAATTGTAAATTATATTGTAAATTATATTGTTTAATATAAAACTATCATTTTTCAAATTAATGTAAACATATAACGCGCTGTTCCAATTAAAATGTTTCTCTTATTTTATTTTTATTTTTGTATATTTCAAACTATTTATTCTTTTAACAAATGCATATCCGGTAAATGTCAAGAATCAGCGGCCCGAAATCACAGCTATGAATCATACAATTGATAATCAATCACGGAAAAGCTAATAATAATTGCAAAATACCTTGACCTCATTTTTTTTTAAAGTGGAATTTTCTCTTTAAAAAAGATGATTATTATTAGTAAGAAAGTATTTTTTAAATAATTATTTAAAAAAATAAAAATATAAAATAATTAAAAACTTAATTGAAAAATAATTGTATATTTTTTCTCTTTTCATGTAAACAATCAAACTTTTATATAAAAAGAGTCAAAACATATAAGATTAAACTTTAATATTGAATAATAAAAAAATTAATTTTATTAAAAAACTCAAGTAGCAAACTCATATCATTAAACATCAAAATAACGTGTCATTCGACGTCAGAATAACGTCATTTTGACATTTAATGATGTCAGTTTGCTATTTGGAAACTTTTTTTATTATACTTTTTTTTATTCAATCTTTGCAAAATAGAACTTTTGTTTTTGATGTTTGTAATATATGTGATATATATATATATATATATATATATGTGTTATATGACATATAAGTGATAATAATTTATAATATTTTAGTTATAAACACAATTTTATATTTAAGAATCTATTAAATAAAACAAATGTAATCAATTTCTAAAGACACAAAGAACACGGCTTATGTATCAATTATAAATTTCGAAGTTGCATGAAGAATTAAAAAATGCAAAAATATAAATATACATATATATGCACACAAGATAAATAATTCTATAGGTATATAATATAATTTTACATACTATATATCCTCTAAAACTAAGACACACACAAAATTAATACAATGCAGTATAGATGATGATTTTACACTTTGTTAATAAAAATTGAACTTTATCTGTGATACACAAATCTGTCAAATTTTTCGCACTGTAATGTAGGTTAATTATTTATTTTAACTTCTCGATAAAACGTAATTTATCTCTAAAAGTTTTCTTTTACAGATTATTCGAAACATAACTTTCTATCGATGCACGCATGCAGTACGTGTTATTTACCACAAATGATTCTCGATATTAATATATATATATCAATGACACTTACCGGGGGACAGCGATCTCTTGACAGGCGACGCTCTCGCGGCACGATGGCTGGCAATTGACTGTGCCGCGGCATCGCGGCCGGCCGTCGATATCTTGGCGCTCATCCTCGCCGCCGGCACGAGGTCGAGTTCCGGCGATCCTGATTCACGTACCAGGAAGTTTAGTCGTCCGGAGGACGACGTAGGAGCATGCCGGTGCGCCAAGTCACGAGGTGACGAGGTCCGCCGTGCCGTTTCCAGGTGTCAGCCGAGATTGGCTCACGCTGACCTGCAAAAACACCCGTTAGAATAACGTGACATTAAACCCCTTCGTCGAGCATGTTTTTTAATGCCTCACAAAAGACCGTACATTTTTTTTATTATTTATTTTATAACATATCTATTTTTATAATTTATATTTCCCAGATAGCAAATTGACGTCATTAAACGTCAAAATGACGTCATTTTGACGTTTAATGACGTCCGTTTGCTACCCGAGTTATTTTTACAATTTATTTATAATTTATATCTATTTATTTTCTAAAATAAAAAGGAGACCAAAAAACTTGAAACGAGAACAAATACGAGAGCTTATTTCTATTCCTTCTCTTTGAAAAAAACATATGGCCTTTCGTTTTAAATTAAAATCATAAAATATTATCCAGAAAATCGTAAATACAGAATAAGGAGAAGAGAGCGTTGACTTAAGCGAAGAGAGAACCTTGAGGAGAAGAAGGAACAGGAAGAACCGCGGGAGAACCAAGGCGAGCCACAATTTCTCGTTTCGTTCTTTGGCGGTTTAATTTATTACCAGGAACACGCGGAGCAAATCGAACGCAGAGGGAGAACGAAATCGCGCGCCTTGAAAACGCGATGCCGGTAATAGCGACGCTCGATATATCTCGATATACAGAGGTAGGGGTGTCGTAGGAGAAAAGGAGAGCACACATAGTTCTCGCACACCTGCGCGGCACCGTATACGTATGTATTTAAATAGCGTTTCAGAACCCTCGAGGTGAAAACGCAAGGCTGCGGCAAGGACTCGCGGCGCCATTATCGCACGAAAGAAAAGACAACTTCAGGCTGTCCTCTCTCCGCGAGAGCAAAATAAGTCTATTTTCGTATCGCGAGATAAATGCGCACGCTTACTGCGCGCTTTTATATCACGTATATCTGGATGACAGCGTCAGATAATGCGCAAAAAATGAATACATCGAAAAATACAGATTAGAAGACTTCACTTCGAATTAAGTCGCAGATTTTACAATTTTCAAAATTATTTTTTTTTAATATTCCGCTTTATCAAAAATCTTAATTGCGTTCTCCCTCTCTTTCGCGGAAATAAAATTATATTTTTTAAAATAAAAATTATAGCCGAAATAGAGAAAAGAAAGTTCTATTAATTATATTTAAAAAATTAAAAAATAAAGGGTAAAAACAATAAGATTTTTCTGAAAATCGCATGCAACGAAAAAGTGAAAGAAAAAAAATATGCGTATATATATATAAAATTGCGTACATGTCACGAATTTTCGTTTCGCACTCCTCGATGGTTTTTCTCATTTACATCTTCGATGAAATTCGTAGATTGAATCTTCAGGCAGTCGAAATTATCGTACGGACACGATCGCTCGATGCTTCGGTCCGGACGCGGACGCGCATGGCCCCGTCACGTTGCCACCGAGAACACGACTGTGCGAGAAGTGTTGCCTGCAACGCGGCACTCCTCGTATGTACACGGTGTCCTAGGTAACCCGCCGTCGCGGAGTTGTAACCGCAAGTCCGCGCGGATATACATGCGCGCGCGGATCACGTGTATAGAAGCGAGTATCGAATCGATTTCTTCACCTGCCTTGAAACCAGAGTTTCTCAATATACCCTGACTTTCTTAATATTAATACAATGCAACAGCCGTGCGAAATTGTCATTAAAAAGCTTATAATTATAGTTCGATCGTATTTAGAAGAGACAGAGAAAATCTATACACGTGACGAAAGATCTTCCAAAAAATCTTATAATTGTACATTATTCCTTTTTTTCGCAAAATATATTATAAAAAATTAATTTATGCATATTTTCCCTGTTTTAATTTCATTATTAAATATTCTACTAAATTTTAGAAGAATTTTATCTCGAATTTATGAATTTTGAACATCTTTCTCTTCAGGATAAACGTATTCTCTCATTTTTTAACAATAAAAATTAAATAATACATATTTAAACATTTTGAGAGAAAAAGAAAACAAAAGGAGTTGCAAGATAAAGTATAGAATTTCTCTCTTTCGTTCTTCGAGAATTAGTTGAGTTAAATAAGTAACATTTTCAGACTTCTTATGTATTCAACTAGTTCTCTACATATAACATTAGAATTTATCTACTTATATTAATTGTAAAGTTACAATATGGGTACCACTGGTGAGCACAACGATCCAATCTGTTTCCGTATTTAGCGTAGCGCGTTTATGCCGTGGCATTACTTCACCCTTTGCGAGTAAGTACATCGTATTTAGATTATATCGATTGCAGTTGCGCGTCATAGCTTGACCTACTTGTAACACGTCGAAACGTTTCTTATACATATATATATATATATATATATATATATATATATATATATATATAAAGCGAGGCATTTAACCCTTAACTGTTCTATGACGAAAAAAGTCATCACGCTACGCGGACATGACGTTTCCGATTCCAGTACCAGCAGATCAAAAAGATATTACATATCCGCGTAATTTTATTCGTGTACTTATATAATAAACATTTTATTTTGAGTGCACATTAAAGTAAGAATACAAGAATATATTTTTATTAATAATAGAGAGTGTAATGAATCTCTATCACTGTCTTCTAGACATTGAATCAAGTTATTTCATTACAAGTTTTTAATTATCCAAAAAATCTATAATTCTATCTTTTATAATAAAATTCAAACTTTCCAATAATTTTCCTGTTTTAGTTGTAGTACATTCATTCTAAAAAATCTATATACGGAAAAAAGATATATCATATTAATAATAATTGCGAATTAATCTTAATTTCAAAGCATTAAACATTAAATAGTGTATTAAATAACACATCGAATAATATAGTATGCAATCAATAAAATGCAACAGTAAATTAAACAAATAACAATATAAAAAACGATATCACAGGAAGATTATCGCAAAACTACTGTTAAATAACTGTCTGTATTATTTCCAGCGATTTATCTTTGGCAAAGCTTTGCATTTAACACGAAATTAATCACTCAAAATAAAACAATCTTCGAATATATATTAGTCGTTAAATTTAAAGAACTTATCTCATTAATAACAATTTCGGCATTAAAAATTCATGCTTTTAAGCAATAGTATGTATCGTTTAAAAAGTAACATAAACTGATAAAATAATAACCGATAAATAAAAACGTGCACGCATGTAATACAAATGTAAAAACAAACGAAAACAGTTAAATAAAACTTAAAAAAACGAACTTATAATTGTATCACATTTAAAGAGTTGCGTGATTTCACACCTTTGCAGATCTTATTATGTCGCGACAGTGTAAAATATATTCGCATACGCAGGAACAATTTGATCAGCAAATCGCGCGGAAAGTCCGGACAGGGAGGTCTATACTCGACTTGCTGCGCAAACTGCAGCATCTGCGCGCCGAGGTTGTCCTCGATAGAGAATTTCTCGAAATTGCGCATAAACGTGTCTTCCAGACCGGAAACGTAAAAGCTGAAGGAACTCGGCACGTTGGAAGGAACATTGGAGTTTTCCTTAACGGCATAAGTGACACACGTGTTGCAATTAACGTGGGTACGCAAACATTCGTTGAGCAAAAATTCACAGACACGTTTAAAGGCGCTTTTCTCGGGTAATCGCAAATCGATGTCACGATAATTGGTCGCCGCAACGTTCAAGGCTATTTGAGTCGAACCAACGGGTTGCACTTGCTCAGCCTGAAGGGATGTCGACGACGCTATCCTTTTGAGCATCCTTCGCATGTTCGCGACGGAATTGTCCTCGCTCGAATGCTCGAGAAAGTGCTTGCTTACAAGATTCTTGAACGCGCGGGTAAACAAGATAGGTGTGGGTTTGACGCGATTTCCGCTTTGTCGTCTAATAGAACGGAAGACGCACTCGATGCCCTCCTGATTTACTCTGCTCATGCGAAAGAAGGGGATCTGGCGTTCCTTCAATGTGTTCCATAATTGAATAACCGCATTGATTGTGATCTGCCAGCGATAGAAGGACTTTATCGATTTTACACACGTACCACTTGCATCGATCACTCTGATCGACTTGAGGAAGTCGAGCGTTCGCTGCAAGAAGCACATTTCGTCCGTGCTACCCGTGAAAGCTTGGCTAAAATCTTTAGTGTTAGTCTTAATTGATGTAGATGAGTTTAGAATGTCGAATAGCTGATCGAAAAGGTATACAAGTTCCATCGTTCCAATAACTTTCAGCGGAAACTCGCCGGACGCGATATGCGCGCTCAAACCCGCAGCCATGCTACTACTAAATATTTGAACGGCGTACTTGGTTTCGGTCTTTTGATATTTGTTAGGTTCGAGATGAGCCACGGACAGTTTAGGAACCAGTGGTAACCGCATTTGACTATCGCGCCTAAATAACAGTTCAATATCTTTCCATGAAGCTCTCTTATCGCGGAAGTGGAGCTCATGATTCATGAAGATGTTCCTGGTCGCTCTTATCAAACGAGGAACATCGAAGACGTAAAATATTTTCTCGTCGTTCACCAGAAAGAACGAATGATCCACGGAGACCCCTAATTGTCGCGACAATTGTACAAATGTCGGCGTTATGCCTGTGACCAAGGCGTGCACAGTCGCACCGATACTATTTAATTTAATTATCGCCTGAAATATCAGATCTTTCATGATATTAACGTGACATGTACTGCCATAGAAATAGTAAGCGACAGGTTGTTCCCAGTCGCCGGCCAAGCTACGGGCTATTATTATCAGGGCTTTTCTCGCTAGTGTGCGACGTTTTTCCACGCCGGTATCATGAAAGCCAATGATTCTATCGCGTGATAGATTGTAAAAGAGATGCGGTCTCAGTCGCATTTCACTTACAGATAGGCAGCAAAGCCTCTCTGTAAGTGGTAGCGACTTCATCTTCAGATGCAACGCGTTCAGGACGTTATCGTTCAACCCGGGTGGTATATCCCAATTACGGATATATCTCCACAATTGACGCACAGTGGGCAACAGGCATAACGGCTGATAAAATCGATAGGCGCCCGAAGCTATAAAGAAAAACTCGAGCGCAGACTGCTTATTCGCAGAACTTTTAGCTTTGCGCTTCTCGCGAGCGTCAACGAACGTAGACACCAATAGGGAGTAGTTACGCGGCAACAAGTCCGCGCATGCTGCTTTAAACTCGTCCACCTTCACGCAATGATCTTCATCTTCCGCGTAGAGTAATTTCGGTCGCTTCGTGATCTTATCATCGATGGGAGTTTCGAGATTTTTCATTCGTTTTTTTTCCAAAGAGGAATCGATGTGTAGCCACGCTTGCGGCGTCTGCGTTGAAATGTGCCAACGTCTTCTCTTTGGAGTTCTACGTAATGTACTGATGATTAAATTCACGTCTTTGCATATCTCGTGAAATATCTTACTATTAATGACCGAAGCAAATTTTTATACAAAACTCTTCACGTCACAACAAATAATTCTTAGTCATAATAACAAATTCTCACCTGTCACCATTTTGTTGTGGCGTACTAATTGATACTGGTTTTGATATCGTAGGCACTGAAGAATCTACAGACGTTAAATCTATGATATCTCTGTAAAAGAAAATAAATAAATAAATATGCTTAATATATAAATTATTTTTTTGTGTGTTACATGAGTCTATATTTGAAAATTATTATCAAACTTACCCGTTATATTTTTCTGAGGATATACGTGAAGATGTCGGTGTTGACCAGTCCGTGCATCTTTCATTGACGAATTGTATATCCGCCTTAGGGATATTTCTAACAACACAAATATATTCCATGTAATGTATACATTTTTTTAAAATTTCTTATTACTGATAAATAATCAAACTTTTTTTCATATAAGTCTATTAATAAAATGGATATAAAATAATTTCATGTGTGTATTTATTTTTTTAAATTTCTTGTTGCTAATAAACAGTCGAGAATTTTTGTTATACGAGTTTCATTAATAAGATGAATTATAACAAAAATGAAGACATTTTGATAAATGATAACTATATAAAAGAAAATTCGAGTGCTTCAGTAACTGTATGTATTAAAACATATGCTAATAAACATAATAATAAAACGAATACTAATGATATTCAAACTTACTCATTGTTCTCCAACTTCTCTTTCAATATTGTCGTCTCAACTGATGATATATTTCTAACAAAAAATTTACAATTTAAATTATTCATATGATCAAAGACAGAACATTTTAACATAAATAGAAACTTACTTATCATCATACACATGCTTTATAGATGCTCTTGGAAAAAGTACTTGCAGTGGTGAAATTATATTTGTGTCTCTGAAATCAAAAAGTTGTATTACTTAATTAATCAATGAAAGAATAATCAATATAATAATGCAATAATTAAATAGATAATTATTTTGACTGCATTTTGGAAGTACTGTCATCCTTATCTAAGATTTCCTAAATAACAAGAATATGCTAGCAGTGAATTCCAGAATACAACTTTTATATGACAGAATAGAAACTCACCCTTCTTCAGATTTTATAGGATGTGTCTGAGACAAACTCAATTGTGACAAATTTGATGAGTTTCTATGTAAAAAATTGGCTTATTAAATTATTGTAGCTATCCTATTCTTGTAGCAAAGAACAAAAAAATTCAATACTCACCTGTTTCTGCTTTCTGGCTTCAAAAATATAGTTACAAACGAAATTGGTTGTAACAAGTCTGTAGAATTATTACTGTAAAAGAAAATTATATTTTATTCTTCTTAAATAATTCTTATATTTATATAATTTTTGTTCAAAAAGATTTGTGTAGTAAATATAGTAAAATAATGTAACTGTAGTAAGTGAAAAATATATTTATAAAAATATTTACTCACTTTCCCGTCTGTATTGGTTTCAGAAATATTGATGGCACAGCTTCTTTACTAAGATAGATTCTTCCCTCTATGTTTCGAAACATTTCTACTCGAAAATGTAAGTGGCATAAGCGATAATATTGATTAGCATATTCTGGTCCTATTGTTATTAAGTCCATTCTATTGCATGCTTTAAGCCATTCTATCCATCTAAAATTATACAAAATTACAATTTTTAATATAAATTTAATATATAATATATTGTAACTAAACAGAATACATATATATGAAGATATAATTTGCATACAGTATATATAAGCACAATGTTTATGTAAATACAAATTCACTCTTTAACAAATTTATAATATTAAGAATGTAAAGATTTTTGTAAATCTATATCGCATACATAATTATATCAAAGAACAAAACAATACACACCTTTTTCTCTCTTTAGGAAATCGGAAGAAATGTCGTTTTGCTATTTTTATATTTAGCATACAACCTGGTGCAGCACACCAACGAGTGTTAGTTTCATCCATCTTTTGACAATTTTAGTAATAATCACACTACGCACTAGATCGTCTACTTAAAAACCTACAAAACAACAAATTTACTATAAGCTCTTAAGCATTACTAAAAACTTGCTTTGGAGTAAAACAATTTTGCAAATTATGCTGTTCATAAATAATATCAAATATAAAGCTTTATCTTATTTATTTATATTAATTTATATTACTTTTTTACTAACATATGTACATAATTTTGTTTTATATTAATAAATATTTTAACATAATTTGATATTTTTAATATATATTTAATATATTTAGTTGCTTTCCATTTACATCAAAACTCAGATAAATCTCTTTTGTCTTTCTTTAACATGGATGTTGAAGATAGAAGTGAGATTTATTTGAATTTTGATATAAATGGAAAGCAACTATTAAATATGAACAGAGAACATTCATTAACAAATAAAAATAAGCTGTATTTTTATGATACATAATTTAAAAATATAATTAGCACAAATACATGAAAAATAAATATCCTGGAAATTGTCATTTTCCTAAAATACAATTGATATTGTGTATGTTTCTCTGTCAACCATTCATTTATTCGTTATAGCAAAATCCAGTTTTTAAATACTCATAGTCTTTTATAAGCGCAAAAAAAATTCTACAAACGATCAAATACTTACGAGACCGGTAGATCCTCGTAAATACATATGGAGGATATAAACTCGTACGAACTTGATATACGTCAATACATCCCCAAAATGCACAAATTACGTCCTTTGATACAGCTGGATCTTCGTTTCGTTCGACGTGTATATATTTCTTCTCTCGAACGTAACTTTTCGGAGAACGCTAAACGAATAAACGAATGGGAATAAAGCGAGATAAACGAAAAACGACGAAACAATCTGACCGAGACCGCCAAATTGAACCATCGCAGAATGTAATAGGATCTAACGCGCATGTCCGGTACTAAGCAAGTAACAAGTGCATTTCGGGCCCGAGGAAAAAAAAATTTTTCTTTATTCTTGGCGAATTATGCGATTTTCGAAAATTTTCAATATCAGAATTTCTATGGCATTTTTATATTTTTTCTTCCTCATATTTTCCTCTTTCTTTATATTCAAAAAAGTAATTTTTCTCAGGAGGCTCAAAATCTTTAAAGTAAAGTACGTATGTACCTACGATTCTGCATATATATCCTGTAGATATTTAATTAACGACAATTTGTCGAACTTTTTATATTTTTTATGGTGAAAAATGTAATAAAATAACAACTACAAATTTCTAAGCAAGAGAAATGAAAATTAGGAAGTAATATAGAAAAATATACCTCAATAAACAGGAACGAGTCTTGCACGATATGCGTATTTATTAATAAAGAACGAACTAATCTAATTGGTTGATTGGTCTGTATATGCACGCCATCAGCTAATGAGTTTCCAATGAATGCGCGCCAATTTCAAAATTAACACACATTTTACATTCACATATGCATCAGTAAACCCGCGCTAAAAGACTATAAATATATTTTTAAAAATTTAGAAAAATTTTAAATTATATCGCACAATTTGTATTAAATTTATATTTTTCTAGAAAATCGAATAATATCAAATGTGCAATGTATGCCAAACACATTCTCATTTTTGTACTATTTTCTTCTGTTATTAATTTATATAAATTTATAATATATGTATAATTTATAATTTATATTTATATATAATTTATAATCATATTATGATGTATTAATATAATAATTAATTATACATAATTATAATAAATTAATGATTAATTATATAAAACTTAATGATTAATTATATATAAATTAAATATATTTAATTATATATAATTTATAAAAATGTTATCAATATTAATAACAGAAAACATGATTTACACAATATACAGTACAACAATTTATATTATATTATTTTCTATTCCTTGTATTGCTACTTTGTCAACAAAATACAAAATATGTTAATCTCTCTATCAACGACTTCTTTGTACTCTGTAAAATATAAAATAAATTACTAATTACGACATAAAATCCGAAGTGTACTTTCTCGTACTCAAAAATATACTAAATTTTGTAACAGCATCTACAGTTGGCTCAAGTATTATCTCATCTTCAGCAAACCAATCAATGGTATCTGCAGCTTAAAGAAAAAAACAATATTAGTAAAACGTACACTATAATTACATTATGAAAATCTGCTCATTTCTATTTATAGAAATTTAAAAATTTTAAATGTATAAAGACAACACTTATGGAATAATAAATTAATATACTATTAATATACGTTTTTGAATAAATAGAGAGGCATATGATGACTAACATAATAGTTCTTAGGTATTAGAAATCAAAGTATTTTCAATTTTAATAATACAGGAGAGAAAGAGATAATATAATAGTAAAGGAAATAATAATATAGAAAAAAAGTGATACATACTTAGATTATTAATTTGACTCGTAGGCGGCCGAGAAAATAGAGTAACACGTGTTTTCTTCAAATGCTTACTCTTTAAACAGCCTAATTTAATCAGTATCTACAAAAATTACTTTTATTAAAAATAAATCTATTAGCATTAAGCAATAGTTAAAATATTAAATTAACAATAGCTTTAATTATAAAAAAAATCATATATATATATATGTTAGATTGTACATTATTATCAAATAGTTGTTGCAAAAGATGCATTTTGCACAAGATTATCTATATCCAGCATAAAATTTAGAAAAAAGAGTTAGACTTCTGAAATCAAAGTTTGCAAATATATAATTAATAAGAAACCTCGACTAGTTCGTGAATATGGAATGGTTGTAGAGCTGGAACGAATCTGCTTTGCATCTTTGCCATAGTAAGTCCAGGATGAAGTAAACAGTAACTCAAGACTGCACCCAACATTCGATCTAGCACTTTGCGATTCACCATGCCGTCTATACGAATCCAAGGTTTTATCACCACTTTTATTTCCTTGGCAGTTCTAAAAGATTAAAACATTAATATCATTTTCAAAGCTCTTTACGAGAATTTATTTCATTATTTTCTTTATTTTAATATACGTACGAAAGATCTAATTGCTGCGCTGGTTTGTACACATCCTTTTGCGGAAGTAAACGCATTCTTTGCTTTCTTGTTTTCATACGTGTATCACTTTCTTCGCTCTCGTTGCATTCCTTCTTCTCGTCCTCATCATTTAAATCATTATCAGCTTTCTCCTCTTTCTTCTCGATTTCTCGAGTATTCAATGATGTCGATGGTATCGCATTCTCCATTTCTATATCTTCTCTGTCTTTCTTCTCCTCGATTTTTGAACTATCCGATGATGTTGATGGCATCGCATTCTCTGTTTCTGTATCTTCTCTGTCTTTCTTCTGCTCGGTTTCTCGACTATTCGATGATGTTGATGGCATCGCATTCTTTGTTTCTGTATCTTCTTTGTCTTTCTTCTCCTCGGTTTCTTGACTATCCGATGATGTTGATGGTATCGCATTCTCTGTTTCTGTATCTTCTTTGTCTTTCTTCTCCTCGGTTTTTTGACTATCCGATGATGTTGATGGTATCGCATTCTCTGTTTCTGTATCTTCTTTGTCTTTCTTCTCCTCGGTTTCTTGACTATCCGATGATGTTGATGGTATCGCATTCTCTGTTTCTGTATCTTCTCTATTCTGTTGCGCATCCATTTCAATACTTGTGTCAGCAGTTGTCTTTCCTTGCTGCATCGTGGCGTAGACGCTGTCCTTAAACGGCACCATAGATTCCTGTTCATAACGATTTATCTTGCAGGAATTAATTAGCCAAGGTTCCACATAACGATGATGAATGTAGCGTGGATTGGTGACGCCAGATCGCAGAAATATATGATTTTCCGTTAAAAGTGAAACAGCCTTGTATAAGTTCGTTCCTTGCTCATCGAAGAATTTATCCTAGACAAATAAGAATATTAATAACATAAATTTATTTTTAAAATAATAATTAAATCGATAAAATTTTAAAAATAAAATTATTAATTTCGAAGTAAAATAATTATTCAATTACCAACAACTCCTTTGAACAAGCGCCGATTTCTTTCTTCTCTCGGACAAATTTATACACTGCGTCGATATATTCCCATTCAACCGCTATTTTCTTTTTCTTTGTCATCATCTCATTTTTATAATCCGTATAAGTAATACCGTTCTTCGGAAAAATTGCCTTCTGCTTCAGTTCGTTGAGAAGATCGTTTACAACATCGAGCTTCAGCGGTATGAGCTGACTAGGTACTGAATAACTTTTGAAATTTTCAATTTCGTTTGATACAGATGATGATGGTAATGTATCTAAGCCGTAGAACATCTTAAAGCTATTAACTACAAAGTATTCGTGCGCGTGATGGCTGTCGGCCACTGTGAGATTATTTAGCTCTTCTCTCATTTTCAACATATCTATCCTCGTGTACTTCTTCTGAATGTCACTTGTATCATTGAGCTTGTTGTAAGGACTAAAATGATTCGTTTCAGACGGCACATTCCTGATGATTTCGTTGACGCGTCGAGGAATCGCTGCCACATTCATCATGTTGTTCAAAGAAGCTGCCAATTTATAATATGAATTAATAAAATTATTAAAATATATTTCACCCAATTAATAAGGTATATTTATAATGTGTTAGAATACTTGACTTTAAAATTTGATGAAAAGTCACAATATTAAATGTTACATATAGATTTAACGTTATACATACATTTATAAAGCTATAAGTTAACTTATATATTAAATATTAGATTTAAAAATATCAAATTTATTATAAATATTCAGATTAGAGTATTTAAGATCGACAGTTAAATCTTTAATTTTTAGCTAATATATTTGAAATAATAATTCAAAACTGTATATGTGTTATAACAGAAATAATAATTATATAAGAATAAAAAAACCTTTCTTTCTTTCTAAGGATAAGAATACAACGTACCTTCTTCATTGACTTGTTCCTTTAATTCTCTCAATGGTTCAAGAGATTCAGTATTCTTTGAAGGTATCTTTTTGATATTTTCAAGATTCTCGCATAAATTTGATTCATTTTTTTCCACATCCTCTATATCCGTCGAATTCTCGGAGCTTAATCTTATTCTCTTTGAAAACGGCTCTTCAGAGTCAGTAGAGTCATCTTCATCAATAGATCTCTTTTTATTTAATGAATGATTTACACGAGTCTCATTTTGCGTATGAATACTAGAGCTCGACTCTCCGATGCTTTCCTCGACTGATTCGCTTTCTGTTACAATTTCATTTCGTTTAGATTCTTTTCCTGATTTTTTTCCATCACATTTCTCGTCCCGACGAGTGATTTTCACCATCGGTTCTTCGCTATCGTCGGTTTCAATAGATTTTTCCTTTTTAAAGTGTCTTTCCATGTTTTCATTTCAGATTCGAGAAACCCAGTATTCTGAGCATCGTTCTCAAACTTAAAACGATAGAGCCTTGTCAAAATATCCTGATATCTTTGCGCAACCCTAAAGTAAGCCTCATCCTTGCCTTGGTATCTTGCATCCAACATAATGACCTGTTCTGGCATTTCTATGTCAAAGTCGATCTGATTGCGTCCTAGGAAATCGTGCATGACAGTAACTATGCCACAGGAAACTGGCAGAATCTCGGTACCATTAAATACTTCCTCCTGTTCTTGCAAAGAGAGGGTACTTTTGTGTTTTGAATACCATTGTAACAAATTCACAAAAACATCGTAGGATTTTTTAAACGCTTCATAAGGCCATTTTGTTTGAAGTTTATGAGTGTAATTGATGCTCAGTTGATACTGCAAGCTGCTCATTGGCATACAATTACCGTGCTTCTTAGTCGCTACTTGATGTTTCTTCACAGTCACCATTTGATCCGATCTGATCTTGCTCATCGCCTGTCTTAGTAGAATTTCTGGGTACTGTTGGTACACCTTGAATGATATCTTTTATGGAAAAGATAGAAGAGATATATTGATAAGTATGTGTATATGTATATATATATATATATATATGTATATATGTATTGATGAGTGAAAATTTCTTTTCTTGCGCAGTAAAATTAAAAGAAAATATTTTATTGTTAAATTAATTAACAATAGAAAAACATTTAATTGACGATTATCAAATATTATCAAAAATAAACAAGCTTTACAAAATATATATTATGTTTCATAGAATATCTTTCATAGTGATCAGTCATACCTTGAAGAATTGATAAGCCCTGGAGCATCTGTCCGCGCGTCTGTCTCCGCAACACATGGAACTATGTATGACAGAATTGAGGGTCGCCGCATGAATATCATTTGTAATTTGTACATCCTTGGTAAAGCCCTGATTATGATGCGGCTTTGCCGGATAAACAATCTCAAATAGAAAATTGAACTCTTGTGCAGTTTTAGGCATCGCCATATGTTTCTTCGGCTTAATCTCCGCGATGTCGTAATACTTTTTGATGATATAACCGACGAGTTCCTTGAAGACCTCCGTAACCCGCTTCTCGTACTCTATTGAACTCGCACATTCGCTTTTTAGTCTATCCATCATGCCACCGTATCGTCTGTCGACGAAAGGATCCTGCTTGATCTCCTCGACGCCTAGCGCGACGCTATTCACCGTTCGCGGCTGCTTCAGCATATACATTAATCGGCGTTGACAAGCGCGAGAAGTTTTGTTGCACGAGTTATAGGAGAAGGTGCGCAATACATCTCGTACCGCTATAAAGCTGATTATCTGCTTGCGCGAATTCGATGACAGATATATCGTCGCCACCTTGCATACCAGCAGGATGTTATCCTCGTGCCGTTCCCAGTCTACCCGTAGCTTGTGCATCCGCTGCATGGCTCGGTAATCGTCCTCGTCGTATTTAAGACGCGGTCGGACGCTTTTCCTGCGCGGCATCACTCGTCGTACAAAAGATATTTGCTTGGTCGAATGTTGCGATGCTAAGGCTTCGTTCTTCCGTCCACCGCTGTTGAGGTGATCATACACCTTCTTCCGCAGTTCGGTTGCGCTGATGGTGGGCGGTGGGGGTGGTCCAGAGATCTTCTTTAGACCATCATATTCCGTATATTTAACCGGCTTTGCTTGAATCTTTGAAAAATGCAGATCTCGTTGACCAGTGCCAAATTTTTCCTGACTCCTGGAGACCTGATAACAATTTATAATAAGGATTTTTCATAATTTCGATACATTATCACAATGTAGAAAACCGCTAATCGCGATTTGATACTTAAGGATATTTTACCATCAAATAAATCTAAAATTTGTATTAAAATTTGTATAAAAATTGATCTTTACTAATTAAATAAGAATTTCTAAATGATAATTACCTATTATATGATATCAAATAGCTTTAGAAATTATCTTTTCATATTAAATGTATATGCATGTAATAATTAATATAAAGAATGTATAAAAATTTAAGAAATAAAGAAATCTCAAAACACAAAAACCTTTTACTTTATCTTTTTGTAAAATTATTTTCTATACTGATTTCTTCATTTATTTACCTGTCGATTTGTAGAACTCATAGACCAATTCCAGTTGCGTTTTAAATGCGCGAAGAAAGCTGAATCAATACCAGCTGCTCCTTTACGATCTCCGGGAACCGTACCTGTATCCATTTCCACAGTCTGTTTCGCAGTGCGTGCTACAATTGCTTTTATCATGTCACTCTTCTTGCTCAGATCTTCAAGTAGGATATCCTTACCGTGTACGGCCAACCTCCCACCAAGTGGTGTATTAACACAAATAGTCAACATGTCGTACCAGTATTTCTCAACAACCTGTAAAGATGACTTATAAATTTCTAAATTTTTATAACAATAATTAGTCACTAGTAGCAATAATACCTGCATGCGATCGAAGAAGTACTTGGTCACCGGATACGTCTTGTCTTCGATTTTATGATAACTCGGTTCCGAAGACATCGTATCCATCAATTCCGTGCGTCGATTTAAGTAGATGAATACTTGATCTTTATCCTTCAGTCGTTGCGGACCGAACTGTACCAGACCGATGTAGGCTAATCTAGTTACGGTGTCATGGATGTTGAATATATATTTCCGTGCATGCAAAAGAGTATTCCGTATTGCAACCTGTGTGTAAAAAAACATTTATAATAACATAAAATAAGAGGGTATTCTTAAATAAACAAATTCGTATAGTAAAAGCCATTGATAAAGCTAGATTTTTAGCTAGATTACAAAATCATTAATCAGAATCAGTCGTTAACTATCTGAAATCATTCATTAAAACTATTTTTTTTTTAATTTTCGATACTGTATATTTAAATCTTTAAGTTTTTCTCTCTTTCTCTCTCAAACTTACCGGAAGATTTTTAACGAGATAATGTTTTCTGATTGGATGATTCAAGTAATAATCCATCTCAGGTATCATAAAGGTGATATTGTGCAATTGAACGAAAATCGACAAAGGCAGTCCTAATAAAACATCGCACATCAGCGCCCAACCCTCGGGCCATCCGCTGTGTTTAGGCAAAGGTGGAATAAACATCTTCCAGCCTACTTCTGTATTGTAAATGGTACTAAACTCTTGAATAAGATCAACATCAATTTCATAATTATTATTAGATTTCAGAATTTCTATCTGTTTTTGCTGAGATAATTTTGGTATTCCAGGATGATTGTATACTAAATAAAAGAGCAAATAGTGCACTGTCCGCATCCTAACAAACTTTGGACTGAGACCGTATCGTTTGCCAGCTTTAGCATCATACTTGTAGCTCACAGAAGACGTATTTTTAGACACTGTTTTGCTAAGTTCTTGCAATTGTTCCTTAGAATTCAACGGCTTGTCAATTGCATTTTCTTTCTCCTTATCCTGTTTATCCGCTTTTTTTGCTAGTGACTTCGCCTTCTGAGACGCTAGCAAACAAAACTTGACTTTTGCTTGCTCTACGGCCGACTTGATCACGGTGTGATCAGTATCGATATTTGGATTGCAAATAAACATTAAATTTTTTTCGTATCCATTCGCGCTCAAAGTTAACTTGATATTCTTCACGTAGTTATCCTTGGCGAGTTTCTGCAGTATCCTTATGAGAGATTTTTTATCAATCTTCACATCATAACCCTCTTTATCCTCTTCTTCACAAATCATCTTCATGAGTTTTGTTGTATCGTCAATCACCTGATGCTCCTTCACCGCCTCAATGATCATGTTGGCGCGCTTTAGTAATCTGCACAGTGAAAAGAAACTTAATTATAACAAAAAAATTTTTAAATATTTGTTTTTAAATTATAAAAAAAACATCACACAAAAATGTTTTGTAACCTATAAAAATACTATTAAAAAAGTACAACTATATACAATTTATATTTGATAAAAATAAAATATTTTCTTAAATTTATACATGCTTGTATACAAACCTGTATGTAATAGTAGTATTTTTCTCGCTGTTCTTCACAACTTCCATAAAACCATAGACTTCACCACCGACTCCCTTTCCAGTGCTGACAGGCTTTTGTGCTATCAGATTTGTCTTTATACTATGATAAAATGAGGTAGCCTTGGCATCATTCACTATTTGCTGCATAGACGAAACAGATTTCACTTTTTGTTTTTTCGCTTTAACATCAGAATCTTTTTTCTTTAATAATAAGGTCTGTGATAAATGCTTGTATTTAAATCGAAATGTTGGCAATTTATACTTATACAAAATTCTGTTGATGGCATAAGTTTTCAACTCTCTATCCTTTTTAATATAAGATGTATTTATATCCTTATTTTCCTCTTCATTTTTATCAACAATCGATGCATCCACACTGATTTGATCAATTTGATGATCCGATTTCGTACATGTTTGATCATTTTCATTGTTTACAGAAGTCTTTTCAATTTCCACTTGTGTGACCACTTTGTTTTTGAGAGTTTCTTCATTTTCACTAGTTATGTTCTTAGTGAGCTCCTTGATTTTGTGCATCTCCTTATTAAATTGCTTACTCATCTTGCTGCTCTTCTCAAATTTCTTTGACACATATTTTGTAATTCTCTGTCGGCCCATGTCGTTCATGTATTTTGCAATAATTCCTACCTTTACCATATTTCTCAATAATGCTCTAGATTGCAATTTGGTAAGGCCCATTTCCTTTCCCAAATAAGCTAAAAGAAAGAGATGATTAATTCAAAATTTATTAATTTTTAATTGTTAACTTAAAAATTGTTTCTATCTCAACAAGGAAATAATTATTATTCTTAATTCATTTTATAATATTTATAGTTTATTAGAAATGCATATCTTGAAAAAATCTTGATTTTATAATGTTACACTACGTCTAGAGAAAATAATGCACATATAAATATTTTGGGGAATAAGAATCTAAGATAATTACAAACATTTAAACTCTACCTTGAGATACACCTTCTGATTGACTCGCTTCAACAATAGCGTTTGCTTGTTTCAAGTAAGGAACATTGAATTTATGATTAGAAACATCCAATTCAAGGACATCTTCATCATCATCTTTCTCATCCTTATTCCATATATCCATAATGTTGGTATCTGGATACAGCAATTGTACAACTCTAATTTTCTTCTCCTTCGAGGGATCCTGTTTTTGTCGCCACTCGTTAGGTTCCGCGTTAGGATACAAAGTTCTATATAGCACGTAAATGTCCGTCTTTACAATTTTTTGAAAGAAAGCAGTTCTAAACAATTTCTTTATAGAATTTTCAATTCCAAGCTTTCTCTTAATCTCGTCATACTCAGCTACACCATTTTCTTTAGATCTTAGAATGTCGAGCACCTGTTCTGCCAAGTAAATCATTTTTGGTTTTCGCTCTACATAGAAACGTGGCAAATGTAAGAGGCTACCGCTACCGCAATGGCCGGCACTTTTCTGATGGTGAATTTGCTTTGTGATTAATTTGTGATGCAACAGAAACTTTCGATGATAGAACAAAGTCTTTGGATCCTCTTTGAGCGCTGCTAAACTAAGCTTGCCTTGAGTAACTTCACCGTGATAACGAGCTCTTCCCACTCTTTCTAAGAAGCAATAGTGCATGATTGTCAGTTCCAATGTTGGACTCACATCAACACCCATCAAAGCCTGTGTCCTGCTTAATTGAGATGCTACAATCACTAAACTTAATCCATATTTTTCTATTACTTCATTTAATCCTGCATTCTTCACTTTATCTTTGATATCTTTTCTTGTATAATATGTAGAACAAGATCCTTTCACACCTGTTTTAGGATCTTGAATAGGACAATGAGGATAAATATCTGGTGGAACATTTGCCTAAAAATAGAAAAGTAAAAAATGTGAGAAAAAATTTTTAGAAATTTAATTTGTTGTCTAAATTATAAATTAATAAAAATATAAGGCAAATTTAAAAATATAGTTTAACTTAAAACTTTGAATTCACAGATCTAATTAAAAACCTCAAAAAATAGATAACTTTTTACAAAATATATCTTTTATAAATCATTCAAATTTATATTTAAATTATGACTTAATAACATGTATTGAAAATTTTTACATAACACTGAATTTAATTACAACAATGCCTTGTATCAAAAGATTGTTCAAATTAAATATTTGTTTCTTGAAATCTCTTTTATCAAAGAATTAATGATTAATTTCATTTAATGCTCAACTTTTGACAGTTTTAACATTTTATAAAACTGTAGATGTTTGTCTGTATAAAAACTATGGCCAGTGTTCATAGTCTGATCTTAAATTTAAGATTGTCTTAAGTCTGTGGTCAGAGATCGACTTAAGATCCTGTTCAACCAATTAAATGGCTGCATGGTATTTTAAGCTCGAACTTAAGACAATCTTAAATATAAGATCAGACTATGATTACCAGCCTATAATATAACAAATTAATATACTCACTGGCTCATGTATAATGCCTAAATCAGGATTCACAAATTCATAACGATCAAATATTTCTAGTGGTTCTCTTGGTGTCTCCAATTTGTAAAATAAAAAGTCTTTCACATTTGTAATTATTGACCATACTTGTTCCATAAAAGGCTTAGGTAATGGCAATTCATCATTAAATCTGTTTGCTAATCTTATCCATAATGCTAAAACACAAAGAATATATGTAAAATATTGAAATTATCCCTAATGGCAGATGAAAAATTACAATATAATAAAAGTACAATAAAAATACAATAAAAGGAAATAATCAAAACTAAATATTGTGTAAATTAATAATATAAATTTCAAAAACTAAATACCAAATGTAAAATAATTGTTTTTCAGAAAAAATATATTATTTTACAGAAATTCTTTAGTTATTGTTTACAATACTTTTTATAATTTTAGACTTTTGAAAATTTAAAGTATAAAAAGTATAATGAAAATAATTGTTAACCTTGTAAAGTAATGCCATCCAATCCTTCCAAAGCAACTTCATCGACGACTGATTCCATTAAATTAAACGATGGAAATGTCATATTTAAATGCATGTAGGATTAACGCAAGATCCAAAAATTTCTTCTTGTAAAGTTTAATATGTTTCGTCACGAGGTCTTGTTTTCCTTGTATTTTCAATCTACACAACAGACAACAGCCATATTGTATCGAGAACTGTCAAACAACAATCGATTATCGCACAATCGATTATCGATTAATACAGCCAATTAGATTTCGATATTGCAATTACGTTCCTAACCTAAATTAAAGTAACCTAAATGAAACACGCCTTATATTATTTGTGAAACCAGCTACACGATCTGATATAGTTTTTTGGTTTCTTACAAAATTTTACATCACATGGATGAGACGATTTACTGAAACATACAACAGCATTTCTGGTTATTAAGTGTTAAATGTTACAAAGAAATTTATGGTACATATAAACGCGAACACTCAACAATGACGAACAGCTGGCAAGAGCAAAGCATGAATGGGCCTGTAAATTCAATGGTAAATATACATTTGTAACAATTGTAACAGCTTTATAGATATTTCTGCATTATAAACATCAAAATTTAATAAATTTTAAATATTTTTGACGTTTTATATACACACACACACACATATATATATATATATATATATATATATTTGTAATTAGATATATTTTTTATGATATTGTAGAATTTGAAAAATATAATTATCCATTTTTAGCGAAAGCATTTTCATTTAAAAATGAATAGTTTTTTTGAAAAAGATTTAAGAATATTGGATACCTGGATAAAAAGCTACTGCATTTTATTAATTGATGAACTGAATTCCTCATTAATGTATTCCGCTTATTTTGTTACAGGATCTAGAACATCACGAGTTTTTAAAGCGCATAAAAAAGTCATTGTACTATTCTAAATTACCAAAAATTAACTGTCTAAGTTTACCAGTCACTGGTTAGTATATTGAATTATAAAAAAAATTATAATCTATTGGAGAGATATATATATGATTTCTATATATTTCTATTTTATTTGGTTGCATATTTTTGTAATATTATTATTTATAAAAATAAACTCTTGATGCTATTAATTCAAAAAAATAAGAATCACAAATTAATTTTTTTTTTGTTTTCAGAATTGGCAGCTGAGCTTTTTACAGAAGTGAAGAGTGGTCATACATTGGAAAAACTCGATGTAGAGGAAGCAAGCAAAATATCTAGAAATGCATGTGTTTCTCCTTGCTCACTTGTATTGGCTTTGCTGTACATTGAAAGATTAAAGAACTGCAATCCAGAATATCTTCAGCAAGTAGCACCATCCGAGCTGTTTTTAGTTTCTTTGGTAATTATTTTTCAACTTTACAACACTTTTACTTAAGTTGTTAAATTTTAAAAATAGTTTATGTGTTACAATATTATATATTCAAATGGATTTTTATTAATAATTATCAGATGGTAGCCAGTAAATTTCTACATGATGATGGCGAAGAAGACGAAGTTTTCAACAAGGAATGGGCAAATTCTGGACAAGTGACTGTAGCTCGGATGAATAAATTGGAAAAAGATTTTCTTGCTGCAATCGTAAGCACACACATTATCTTATATATGTCAAGTTTTTAAATTATGAAATATATTCTTAAATGATTCATAACTAAAATTAAATATAAGACTGATTAAGTTTCAATTAAGTAGTATTTGTAAAATTATATTAATTATTTATCTAATTATAACTTGATATTTGGATATTTATTTAATTGCTTGCTTCCAATGATTATTTTTATACAACAAAATTGAATTATTTATATTAAAGCATGTTAATTAAATAAATTATTTAAAGTTATTAAAGAATAAAAAACAAATTATTATCTATAGTTATTCATAATAAAATTTATCAACTTAATCGAAAATTTTATGTCAGGATTGGACAGTACTAGTGCAGCGTCAAGACTTTTGGGAAAAATTGCAACGACTAGAGAAAGACGTAGCATATCGAGAAGTACAAAAACGTGGATGGTGTTCGTATACAGAGTTGAATTGTCTGTTAAATTCCGTTCAACTTATTGCAATCGCACAAACTCTAATAAATGTCTCCTCCATCTGCTTGGCGACCTATGCTGCTGGTTTGGTGACTCTTGTGGGATCCACTCTGATTGCCCATTTCATTGTACAAAGTTGTTTACCTGGAGCGTCGCTAGATCCGAGACAATCTGTGAATCTGCAAACAAATTTAATGTCAACCGATTTATTGATAAATACACAATCCCAAGAAATCAACGCCAACAATCTTCCAATATCCGATTCGTTGATTCTGGATGAGAATCTTGATTATTCTACAGAGGTCGATCACGATGATGATAAGGATGACATAGTTGGTTGGCAATGGTGGCTGAATTCCATGATGACTTGGCTGCCCGAGTACTGTATTTTGGAGAACGATATCGAATGCACGAATTCCACTAGATTAAATATTACCAACGCTAAATTCTCGTTTAATTCGACGCAAGCTTTAAAGATAAGGAAGATAGAAAAGATAGACAAGATGAAGGATTTTGCACCAGAAGACTATCGTCGTAACGTGAATTGGAAGGAAGCATTAGGAAACATTGTAGTTTCAATTAGGCTAATGATTGAAAACGGTCGGACATATTATATTATAAAAGTCGTTCAGTCATCGATATTTTTAAATATTTACTATTAGCTTCCTCATAACGATTCGCCCATTAAATCTCAGAAGATATATACATATATCTATATTTTTGTACTAACTTTTGTAACGTTCGATACTAACAGACGTGTTTTTCCAAATAAATATCTGATTACATACTACGAGAGAGAACATTGTGTGTGCTTCTATCATCTAGACATCAAATGCTATATATGGTTTATTTGATTTTGCATCAAATAAATATATACGAACGAACGAAAAACGACAGACATTCTTTTGGAACTGAGATTAAAACTTTTTTTTCCTAATTTTATCTATATATAAAAAAATTAAAAAACTTTTTTACTTGCTTTTATTTAATAGATTCAATGCTGAATCAAAATACCAACACAATATCATATGAGAATTAAAAATTAACTATTTTAAAAACTAGTAAAAAAGAAAATTGATATTACACACACATAACAATACTTCGTGTTCTCTATACAGTCTATATAACATCCTATACATTTATATATTAAATACTTTTGTTGGGACAAATTGTGTTATTGTGGCAGTTAAACATTAAAATTATAAAAATTTATAGGCCATTTTAAAATAAAGTGCTTACTGTAAGTGAGCTGTTTACGGTCCCATGTGTTAATTCATTTAATTCGTTTCTCAGTCGATTTTCAAGCAATTTAGTTACTGCGGAAAAGCGCGGCTAGCGGTATAGGCGTCATACCAATAAGACATCCAATCGTAACTCCGATGACTCTGCCCTGTAAATGAAAAATTGTTGATAAATATGCTACATATAATTTTGCTAAATAAAAATTTATGCCAAATTCTAATTATCTCAAAATTTCTTTGTGCATAAAAATGATTATAATATCCAAATATTCTTTCCCCTTTTTGTTTCTGCATTTTTCTTAAATTTATATATATGAATAATATATAAATTTTATATTCTGTTATACTTACTATGTATATATTTTTTTAATTTTACAATTCTATTTAAAAAAATAATTTTTGTGTGATATATTTATCTATTAAATTTCTAAATTTTATAATAATATATTCTATTAAATGTTTTAATTTCAATAAATAGTACACAAAATAAATTTTCATATATCTATTGTTATACTCGTAATAATTTAATAACATAGCAATCATACCAAGTTTGCGGCTATCCGTGTCCTAGGTAGATTCAGTTGCCCTAATGTCAACTTGGGCGCTTCAAAGCCGACTTTCTGGGCGAACATCTCGACGTAATGTACCGACCCGATTCCAATAACATCGGACACCGTGTTGCCCAATGCGGCCGCTGCCATGGTCGAGATAGGAAACCTTCTGTTCAACACCAGCTCAATTTGATCGCCCTGAAACATTGATCTTAAATTTCGCACGCAACAGAACGACGAAAACCTGTGAGATACATACAGCAACAATCATGATGAAGTTGTCAAGAAAACCAAACCCGACGAACGGAATTGCGTTTGCAATTGCGACTGCAAAAATACAACAATTATCTGAGATTATTTGCATTTTTAATTGGAATCTATGTGAGAGATTTGGATTATTATATATATATATATAAACATAAAATTGTGTATTTTGTATTTATAGTTTTATTAAAATAAAAATCTTTATATATAAAATTTCATTAACTATTTCATTTTAAATTTGATTTTTGAGTTTTGCTTTTAAAACAACATTAAATAATTGTATACTAACAAGCTTTAATATTGAATATTAAAACCAAAGATTCCGACATTTGTATTCACAATTATAATCTTAAAAATATATAAAATTATAATTCAAATATTTGTGTGCGAAAAAAGAATATAACTTCTAAATAATATATATAATCATTGTGTCATCATAATAGAATCAATTAAAATGTAATATGTCATGCAAGAAACTAAGCAAAAAAGATGAAAAAGAAATAAATGCAACTGATTATTTGCTCATAAATATGTAACTAAAAGCTGTAACGACAATAGTACATACCTAGTACCAGATCTTTTGTAGTTGGTTCTGGAACGTTTTCAACTGCAATGAGAAAAAATACAATATAAGTCTACAATTATTACGTTCTATATATGTATGTAATTTACATCTAGAAATTTATATACAATTGTTTAATAATTCTGGCAAGCATCAAATACTACATCAATCAAAAATACTACTAGACGAATTATTCTACTCTTCACATATATAAATTGTATATTTGAAATGATGTATTCTTTAGTAAAAATATTTCGAGTAAAAAAAGACATTGTCTTAAGAAATTTTTAAGTAGAAAGAAAAACTATTGAACAATTATTTTTAATGATGTATTATATCATAAAGAAAATAAATACAGAAACAAGAAAAGTTTCAAGATTATAGAATATCCTTAATAAACTTTTGAAAACATATAATCATTTTAGCATAGAATAGTAATAGAGGTACATGTCTGCATAATGTGGGATAGTTTTAAAATAAATCTAAGTAAACAGTTACTACAAAACCAGAAATTTTACGATATTGGAAAATAAAATGTAAAGGAAGACAAAATTAATATAAACTAATTTCCACAGTGGAAAAACTGTTTAAGAAAGAAGAATCAGAGAAAAAATGTTCAAAGTATTACCTAACTGTGGTACTGTGGTTGACCAAAACATCCAAAAAGTTGTGTGAGAATAGAAGAAGTAGGCAAGAGTGTTAGTGTAATTAGAGAAAGAGAAAGAGAAGAAAAAAAATGAAAGAATGAGGAAAGTGTAACTTACAGAATAACATCCATGGAGATCGCATTGCAGGAAAAAGATTCCATTATATCCAAAGATAAATAACAGTCGAGGGTGTTAATTTTATTTTGCGACATCTATAGATGATAAATCTAAGTTAATTTTTATAACACTTTATGCATGTAACAGAGACTGGTACACCGCATCAAAGATTATTGAAATAAAATTGCGCTTCCTTCTTCAGCAGTCTTGACAAATAAACATGTATGATCCAAATAATAAATAAGAATGTTCTTACCATATTTGCGATTTAACCAATCATCTGGCATGGGGCAGAAGGTTCCTGTAGGATCCACCTCACCCAACGATGGTATTTTACTAGGTCTGCCAAGCTTGCTCCTCCATCGAAAAGCTGCTAATTGACCTAACAAAAAGGCAAGAACTTAATAACATGTAAAACATACAAATAAAAACTCAATAATTTCAATTATAATATATAAGTATATTAAATAAGATAAAATTCCATTAAAAGAAATTTTCTATCAAATATTGATTCTCAAAATAAGTTTTATGTTAAATAACAATTCATTTAACAGTATAAATTTCTTACAATCTCCATAAGCAATATGTCTACCTGTATAACCAGCTTTGTCTTCCTCCGATTTGCTTTCATTCAATGCCGCCAAGAACAGCTTACGTTCTTCCGAGCTAAGCTTCGAAGTCAATTCCTTTGCTTGTTGCTTCGTCAAGGCTTCGATGACAGTGTCGGAGGAAATTGGAGTTCTCGTGGAAGAGAATTTTTTGCTTAGAATTCGTGAAACGTCAACGATGCACGACGACGCGGGGCAACATCGCAATAATGCGTTGTTCATTAATATTTCATTACGATTACTAGAATAATGTGATTTCATGTTGAATTGTACAAAGTCCTTCGAAACAAATCCTCGTCGACCAAGGACTGTCATCGACACGCACATCTTGTCAAAATTCGAAGATTCGAACGCTTCGAACGAAAGATAATTTATACGTCGAACTGTGGAGTGATTGGCACGTTTTCTTAAGGAGGAATCTTGAAAATTATCTGGAACAAACAGGTAAGTGTGGGAAAAAAGTTCAAGGATCCATCGATGATATCGGACGGAGCTTTCGAGACGGTGACGTCAAACGCAAATTCGAACTCACGCGTAATAATAATAGAAGGGATGTATTTTTGCGCACATGCGTCAATATGTCACTTAACACGTGACTCTTTGACAACCTCATATTTAAATATAACATAGATGTTTTTCTTTCTTTCTTCTTTGAAGATCTTGATATTTTCCTCAGGTATATTACTTTGTCTCTTATTGTATCGTTGATATATTTAAACACATTTCCTCTATTATTTTTCTGTAACAAACAGCCTTGAGCAGCCCACTCCATCTATACACAATTCACTAATTAAAGTGACAAATCTTTTTTTCGACTATTGATAAAATCACTGCTCAGAGTGCTCATGCAGTTGCGCACGATTTTTTATGAATTTATGTAAATATGTATATATTTTTATTAAAATATTTATTCTCATACACACATATAGATGACATAGATACATATTCTTGATAAGAAAACGATTTTTCGATAACTTCAGAGAGAGAGAAAGAGAGATGTGCCTTTCTCTCTCGCTTCGCCGTATTGCGCAGTAGAAGACGGTGGTGGGGAGACTGGAATGCGCACTAATGCGCAGGTGTTCTCCCACTCCGGCTTCACTCCCGTCACGTGACACGTGACGCGCCGCATACCAGCGCCGTCAGTCAAAGTCAAAGTCGATTCAAAGTCGCATTTCTCTCTCTCTCTCTCTCTCGCCACGATAATTAGTCATTGTACGAAAAATTCCTTAATTAATACATCATCTGTTTATACATATATGTGCGTATAATGCATCTGTGCGAAATAAATGATCGATATTGATGTCACAAACTTTACACGCACATTTCTTTCCGCGAGTTTTTATTTTCGATTTGCTTTTATCGGAATTGTTCGAAAATGTTATTGAAAATGTTCGTATTATTACGCATGCGCGAAGGACTTATCCCTCCCATTGGGATATGTTCCAAAATTTCTTGATAACAGAGCAGCTTTTGATTGACCAACCAGAACGGAGAAATATTTGCTTCGTTTGTCCTGATTGGTTTATCGAATTTTACGATTTTACCTCATTCCAAGAGGTAAATTTTAGAACGCACCTATTTTTTCGAATGCCTGTTAAAAATCGAGCAAGAGCAACACGGAGACAAACGTAAAATCAGATTTTCTAAAAATTTCTGAATATAAAAAGTGAAACATTTATAATTTTGATATAAAGACGAACTTGAAATATTTCGTTTATTGTTGATATTACATGCAAAACATGGTGTACCTGCATTTTCCGTCAAATTTAACCGAAGAAGAGCTGATGTTGCAAGCCAAGTACAACAAACTCAAGAGAAAGGTACAATAAAGGTTATGTTTATATTTTTATGTCAAACGTGAATGCATTACAGTTATTATAATAAATTATAAAAAAGATGATAGAAAAAGAAAACGAAAAAACGTGCTAGAGAATTAAAAATATTATAGCAAATAATAGAAAAAAATATGTGTTAAATATGCAATTAAAAATATTATAGCAAATAATAGAAAAAAAATATGTGTTAAATATGCAATTAAAAACATTATAGCAAATAATAGAAAAAAAATATGTGTTAAATATGCAAAGAGAAAAATAATGCATGTCCTTTAAGTATATATATATATATATATGTGTATATAAATATTTAAATCTATTTAACAGAATAATAGTAAAATTAAATTTCTAAATATATTTGCAAAAATAAATTATTTATTCCCTAAATAATTGTTATGTTGCACGTTTCTTCAATTATATCTTAATTATCTTATTGTCAATTACCTTTTGTTAGAAAAAGGCGCTGCAAGATTTAAAGTCCCCTAAACAGGAAGTAGAACGTATTCCTCAGGCACCAAAACGGCCTACAGAGGCAAGAGATGCTCGTGAAGTGGCTAAGAAATTAATCAAATCTGGTGTGATCACAGCTCCAAAGACTCCTAAACGACCGGAGCAAACTTTCAAGAGATCTCGCGGGCTGGAAAGGAAATTAAACAGTACAGAAAAAACTATTAGTTCTTATCAACCATTTTCTGCGACACAAGAAGAAGAAGAAACAGAAGCGGTGAGACCAAGAGTAAAAGATTTGTACAATAGCTTTGTTGGTGCTCAAGACACTGGAGATAGGAATGTCGGCGACACTCAATCTCCAGTTAAGCAAGAAGTTAAACCACGTGCAGGAAATACAATATTTGTATGTGGCTACAAGATAACAGAAGATTATCTCAAGAAACATTTTCAAACTTTTGGAAATATTGTTAATATTTCAATGGAAGTAGAAAAAAAGTAAGCGCAATTGATTTTTCCTATGTGTGTGTGTATATATATATATATAACTTTGCACAGAATTCAAATATATTAGAATTATTTGTGCAGTAATACAAATAATAATTCCGTATTTCCTATGCTTTTTTTAGCCGTGGTTTTATAACTTTTGAAAAAGCTGAGGCAGCTGAAAGAGCAATAAGTGAAATGGATGGTAGTATGGTCTCTTCGATTCAATTGAAAGTATCATTAGCAAGAAGACAACCTATAATAGAGCCTGTGAGTGATACTATGTCTAGTTCTATGTGGTCACCGATTGCAGCTAATTATTCACAAAAAAGTGCACATAAAGACAGACGTGATCTTAAAGTGTATGAAGAGGATCTTTTCCAATAAATGCAAGTATTTTTGCACATTATTCATAAATTTTCAAATGAAACTTACAACGTTGAATAATCTTGTTATATATTTTTCAACAATTTGTTATATTTGATACTTCTCTTTTGAAATTTGCCATTAATTTATTTTTTATATTACACGTTTCTATCTCATTGTGACACATTATGTGTCATTAAAACAATAAATTTGTAATAAATATATATAGCAAACATTTTTTATGAAGTTATGGTCATATATATATATATATATATATATATATGTATATATGATTTTTTGTTTTACTTGCTTTTTTAAATTGATAGTATGCACAATAACTTATATATGTGTAATATTAAAATATGTGAGTGGAGATAAAGAAAATTAAAAATAAAAAAATTGCTCAGTAACTTAACTAGCAAAAATACAGATACTTCACTATATATTTTCTTTTAAATTGCAAAAAAATTGTCATCTAAAATATTCAATCTTTTATCTATACTAGATCTACACTAAAAAAATAACTTATTCATACTTGTGTGTAAAATAAAATTAGATAGATAAAATAGATAAATTAGACCGAAAATTGTTGTAAATAGTATACTTCAGGTATTAATTGTACATTTGGCACAATGATAAAATTACAATTTATTTGTTACAAACCTGGTATTTTATTTTGATGTTTGTATAAGAACTATAATCCGTAATTCCGTTCCAATTCCATGCTTCGTCCTAGTTTGTATATTTTTTTTACTTCCTTCAACACAAAATTATTGTTATATAATACAAATTTATACAAGAATATGAAATTTTAATTTCTATGTACCAATGAACTATTTATGAATATGCATGATATGATGTAGGCAAACTGGATTGTAGAAAATATTATTGAGGGGGATTAAAATAATCCCAATGATGCAAATGTGTTACAGTTCGTGTGCTATTGAAATAATATATCAACAAGCCTACAATCAAAAGTAATAGAGCACATATCGCTAATTCTACTTCTCTGATTTTCTCTCTTGTGTCATCTATACTTAGCGTGGACGTTAAATACCTTATAAAATGCCTCATGGCTTTTATACCGGCCGATCGAAGAACTCGGAGAAGCTGCTGTGTAGTGTCTATAACACCAGGTTCTGTATTAATGCGTCGACTTGTTTCATTCAGAGAAAAAAACTGGATTGGAATTTCAGAGGCTGGAAAGGCGATGAAATGAGTCGAGTTTAAAGGAAAGGAGGATACTGGCGATTCAGAGGATTCCCTTTGTCTTTCTCTAAGGGATTGTCCTGTATCGGAAGAGTGGGAAATGACAGCACGCTGCGGTTGAGCGGCCTTAGGGACATTGTAGCTAGTGTCCGAAGAATAGGAAATAACGGCTCGCTGTGGCTGAGCATCCACAGAGGTACCGTGTCTCGGTACGATCGTGTCAGGCGTGTCGGGAGTCACAGAGATGACTGGTGGCAATGAACGGACTGGGGACGCGGTTTGTCGCACGATACCTTTGCTAGGCGAAGGGGATCTAGATCTCGACTTGCGAGGAATCTGGTCTGTTTTACTATTAGACAAATCGTCCTTGCTGCCGTGAAGACTCGTAGATGTTGTGTCCGGGTCGACAATAGTAGTAGTAGCAGTAGTAGTAGTAGTAGTAGTTGTTGTAGTAGCAGTAGCAGTAGTTGTAGCAGTGGTGGTAGTAGTAGTAACAATAGTAGTCTGGACAGAGCTACTCGAAGGTTCGTCAACGCGTTCTGGCGACACTCTCGATTCGGAAGATCGAGTTGAAGGCACATCCGATGTAGGATATGAAGCACGAGATTCGTCGACATGAGAGCCCGATGTGGTTTGCGAACTCAAAGTTAGGGGATGTTCGGAATCTAAAATTTGTAAGGACTTATCTTGAGCAACCGTGAGCAAATGTATGGGGAATTCGTCTTTGTCCTTGGATTCTAATTCATCTATCGTAAGCGTCTGTAAGGAGGGGAATTCTTTGGTTTGAGCAACTGAAAGGACGTGTGTTAACTTTTTGCCCTTGACATCTATTATGTCTGTTTTAACAACCTTTTGATCGTCGTCAGCTTCTATCTCCTTGACTTCCGTCTCCTGGACTTCCACCTCCTGGACTCCCGTCTTCTGGTCTTCTGTCTTCTGGACTTCCGTCTCCTGGATTTCCATCTCCTGAACTTCCGTCTCCTGGATTTCCGTTTCCTGAACTTCCGTCTCCTGGACTTCTGTCTTGTGGACTTCCGTCTTCTGGACTTCCGTTTCCAGGACTTCCGTTTCCAGGACTTCCGTCTCCAGGACTTCCGTCTCCAGGACTTCCGACTCCAGGACTTCCGTCTTAACTTCCATCTCCTTGTCTTCCATCAACTTATCTTCCATGGACGCCGGCTCGTTCACGATGGCCACATCGTATTCTGCTACTTCCTGCAAATCTTCTTCCAAAACAAATTCCTGCTCTCGAACTTGACTGTGGTCGATCGTGGGAATGTCGGGAATTATCTTGCGACTCGCAGACTCCTCGCTTTCGCGGTGCCTCTCCTGCACCTGCACCACGGTTTCCAAGTGACTCCTAATCGCCATTAGTTCTCTGATAATAGCCGGTGAAAAACTCTCCTCCAGAGAACCGCTGCCTCCTCTCAATTCCGAGGCTGTGATCATCATTGCGTCCACTTCGGACGCTACAATTTTGTGCGCTTCTATTTGTGATACGCTCAGTCGGTCGACCTTCAAGTCGCCGACTTCGAGACTACTGATTCTCAACGGTTCGTCAGACCGTAGACCTGAGGATCTGATTTGAGGTCGCGGTTGCGGTTCTTCCGCGACGCGTTCTTCCAAATGCGGCAATCTGTGCTTGTCTTCTAAATCTATCTCTCTCATTGGTGATGGTGTCAGTGACACCGTGTCAAATGTCATTCGAATATCTTCTTCTAGTCGCTCTTCTTTTTCCTCTTCTTCTTCTTCTTCTTCTTCTTCTTCTTCCTCCTCCTCTTCTTCCTTTCGCATAAACTGCGATATTGGTAATGGCGGTACAGGCGGCGTGCCTGTTCTACTCGGACTGGGTATACGCTCCATCGACACCATCACTTGTGAACCAGATCTAGAATGTGTCATTATAAGCTTCGCCTGGGTGATCTCCTCGATCACCATGTCGTCCGGCAATGGATCGGTTTGTGTCGCTGCTGTCGTCTCCATCATCTCCGGGTACTCGAACGGGGTGCGAGGTCGTTCGATGATCGCGTGTTCCTTCCTCGCCCTAGGTGGTCGCGGTGGCGCCGGAAGCGGTCGACGTTGAATTTTATTAAGCATCCCGCTACGGAGATCTCTGTGCTCGACATCTTCTGCGTCAATCTCGATATAAGGCGCGGATTCAGAGGGTGTCATACCAATAATCGATTCCGATGCCATGCTGGTATCTCTCGTTCTGGCGGGTCCCAGAGTGCTGTAAGCTCGTTGAGGTCGTTTAGGCGGAGTCGGTCTCGGGGTTGTAGCGAATTTGTTGCGTTTTCTTCTAGGTGGCGGTGGCCTTGGCGGTTTCTCCCGCTTTTCCACGATTGCGTAACCGTTGAAATCCTGCGCCGAGTCGTTCTCGTCCTCTCGTGGTATATCTTCTTCGACGTAGCCGGCTTCCGGCAAAGATTCCGCGCCGTGCGATGTTCTGTCTTCGTCCGCGGCAACCGACGTCCCTCTTGAACGGGATCGTCTCTTCGGCGGTACCGGTATCGATTCCGGTGCGGATTCCGCTCGTCGATGCCGCGCGTCTAGGTTGACAAAGTTCTCGCGACTCGTGGACATTACAACATTACGTTCAATCAACGATTGTCGCGATCGCGACGATCTCGTCGGTATCACTGGCTTCTTGGACTCGACAATTTCGACTTCCCACACATCGCCGCGATGACCATTGCAGATTGGTGCACTCACGTTGCCGTTTCTTCGATTCATTATTGTCTCTCGGTGCGAACGCTTCCTGCGTATCGGTACGATGGGTGGCGTGGCTGAAAGAAGAATAGATGACTGAACAGGCGTCTCGGGAAAGAGTATCGGCATCTCCATCGGCGGCTGCGATTGACTACGCAAAGATGATCTCGACTTTCTTCGCATCGGTTTTACCACAACTATGTCGTCTAATGGCTCCTGCGATGATTCCGGATGATTCCCCTCCGCCTGGTATACCACGCGGTGTCTGGAGTCGCTTCTAGAATCGCTCCTCGTGCGTTCGCGGAACATCTCGTCCACGATCGACGCCTCTCGACTACGTCGAGCCGCCGCGCGTTCCCGTTTCGGTCTGATCGGTGGTATCATTTCAGTAGACTCCTTCGTTAAATCCTCCTTACGTTTCCTCAAGGTTCGCGTTCTCATGGGACGTTGAGGCGGCGGACTAGGTGGAAGCTCGTCGTCCTGCAAGGCACTGACGATTTTCGATCTGAGAGCTTCTCGGATCTCATCGGTTAGGAAATTGTTCAGGTTCATATCGTCCTGACTGATACCTCTCGCCCGCACGAAGAACTCGTCGGAATCGATCTCTTCTATGACTCCGCGACGTCTTCGATCACAGGAACTGCCGCTAGACGCTTGTTGCTCCCGATCGGATTGCATCGAGGAAGGCTCATGTTCCTCTTCGACTTCCTCCAATTCTCCTTCTACTTCCTCTTTCTCCTCCTCAGACGCCATTTTACGCGGTTTAAATTGCCTCGGATCTACGGCCATGAATGCTCCGTCGTATCCTTCTCGTTCCAAAACTCGCGGTATGTCCTCGTCCAACGATCGTGATCTGGGAATCGGTCTGAATTTTTCCTGAAGCATCATTTCTTGATCTACGCGCCAATCATCCCGCGCCATCGCATCTTCATCTTCTTCGACTTCGTCTCGGTGTTTCATTTCTTGATCGCGATATAATCTCGGATCCATCGCTTCTTCGCGTTCGTACGATTCTTCTTGCCGTCTCTTGTGAAGTCTCCTCGGCGGAGCTGGATGCCGATCCGACATTTCTGATGACTCTTGCTCATAATCCATGTACTGTATCTCCTCTTCGTCGTACTGTTCCCGTTTTCTCGTATCTTCCCAGGGAATCGCGCGAGCCGCCGCCATTATCTCCTCTTCTGTTCTAGCGGACAGTCTTGGCGGTTCTTCCATTGAACTCTGACGCCACGGAGGAGAGCCATCGCTCGCCGCTACCTCATCCTCAGGCCGATCCTGGTCCGGAGTATCAGCTGAATGCCCAAAACGATGGGACCATCTGGCGCTGAAGCGTTTTCCTTTCCCAGGACGAGGAAAAGTCGCGCTTTCCGCGGACTGATCCCTAGAATCCTTGGGCGAGGACGTTGCGTACTCCCCGTGCTTCTTGGACTTCTTGTCGAAAATGCGCGGATACGTGGAGAAGTCGAAGATGTTGCGCTTGGAACCAACGGTGGACTCGGTCGAGTGTTGCTGCTGTTGCTCGCGTAGAGAAGGTGCCCGTTTGACGCGAGCAAGCGCGTCTGACAAGCGGATGTTGGGCTTCTTGATGGTGAATTTTGACCTGTCCGGCAAGTGGAAGCGCGACTTATCCGGGAAACTGAATCTCGGTTTCTCCGGCAGATGAAACTTGGATCTGTCGGGCAAACTGAATTTCGTTCGATCGAGCGGCAGGCTGAATTTCGCCGTTTTCTCGGATATGGACGTTCTTATTCGGTCCATTCTACTAGGTCGCTTCTCCACCGATTTGCGGGATTTTTCCGACTTGCCGCTGCTCGCCGCCGTCGATCTTGTCGTCGTCGTCGTTGTGGTCGTCGTCGTCTTCTTTTTATCGGGCTTCTGCCGTTTTTGTGGGAACGAGAACGAGGGACGTTGGATATTCCGAAGTCGAGAGCGAAGTTTACAAGCTTCCGTCTTCATGCGCTGAGATAAACCGCGAGCACCGCGTCGAAGTGGCAGTTCCTCTATTGCCGACGAGTCTACCTGGAATGACGAATGCTTTCGTGAGAAATGAAGCAAATTAAAAAATATATATAAACATATAATTAAGTTTCATTTATATATTGTCTTTTAAAAATTGTAAAATAAAAATAATATTTGTGAAAAGTTATATAAGTAAAAATTTCAAAATAAAAGTAATATTTGTAATATCATAGAAAATAACAAAATATAAAAGAAATAAAAATATATTAAAAAATTGGAATACACTTAGAATTGAATATTATAATATCGGTCGAACACACAGTCCTCATTTTGAGGTCACAATGAAAATAAATTAGTATCGTGCAAAGCATTCGACATGCAATGTCGCTTAGAAACACGCAAAGCGCATTAAAAGCGTGCATATTTTAAATTACTATGACGTAGCCTAACCACTATAATTAATCGCAAAATAAGCCACATATTGTCAGGTTCAAGAAGTTTCGAATTTATCTGTTTAGCTTCAGCGGAAGCTATCGCGAAGACTTTGCGTATCACAACAATTTGCGCGAGCTTAGATTTATGTTCCCATTGAAAAATATACCGGCAAGGTCGAAGGATGATTAATATTTTGACAGCATACATATTCTTGGACCCGATTGCGCAATAGGGATGGAGAGACTCGAGCTTTCTGGAACGTATTGCGAGTTAACGCGATTGCACAATCGGACAGTGACACGTCGTGTCTCCCTTTTACATGCGAGTTTTGCTAAATATAGGCTCCATTTGGCGCGAGTGATGAACCGAAGACAACAAGATCAATCTCGAGCCTCGTGGCGTTTTTTTAAATTCCGGTGGTCTCTATCGATTCGCAGCTATATTTAACCGCTTTTTCATGTTATTTTTTTATTCAATTTATACGAAGAAAGAAACACGGTAGCCGCCCCAATTCTCGGGAATGAACCTATAAATCTATAGATCCTTTCGGAAAAAAGAACAAAATTATTAATATATCGGTCTTGCAGCGTCCTTAATTGTGGTTTTTGCAATTATCTGTAATTCACTTTTCACACAAAGGTGTTTTCAGACTAACAAGCAGATTTTTCCTTCACATGTGCTTTCCTACACCAAGAGAATTTTCTCTTGAAATTTACCCTGAAAATCATGGTAATCGTGAGAATATATAAGAATTTCTCTGATTAAAAGTATTTACTACAATACAAAATATTAATTTGTACATATGGTAAAATTAATCGAACATATTTTATATCTTATTGTGTTAGATATAAATATTTTTCTTGTGGTAAATATTAATTGGAGAAACACTTTCAGGGATAAATTCTAAGAAAGAAAATTCTCTTCGTGTACGAATATTCATCTCTTCGCCGGATATTACCTGACTGGTGTTGACCTCGCCGTCGGTCCTGGACTCGGTGTAAGGGGTAGGCGCGTCGAGGAATTGCTCCTCGAGCCTGTCCTGGAACTGCTGCATCGTGGGTTCCTGCTCCTCGGAAGTATCGCCGATCCCGCCAACGGCCTCGCGGCCCTCCATCGCGCTGTCTTCGATCTTGCCATCCAACGGGAGGATCAAATCGCCGTCCAGGATCAGCTCCGGCGGCAACCGACTCCGGTCGTCGATGCTGTCGTCGCTGTCGGCGACGGGCATCACGTCCGTGTCGACGATACGCACCACCGGCGCCATCGCCGATTGTGGTAGCGGCGGCGCGATCGGTTCGTACTCGTGCTCGCTGTTCGGAAAATTCATATTTCTATTTTTACGAGTATAATTAAAATTCGAAAAAATTGTATGTCGCAAATAGAAAGGTTGATTTTTTTATATATACAAATTTTGCGCGATTTGCGGTGTCAAATGTTTGTAAATGTCCTCAGCGAGGTGCGAGGAACTCTCTTTGCACCACGTGAAAGTCAGGAATGTCGAGCAAACGAGCATAATTGGGCATGACAAATTTATTGTCAGATCAATTGCGCATTTCATCGAAAAGTGGCCACGATATTGGTATGAAAATGTGATGATAAAAATTAATCTTCTTCTTTTACAATCTACCATATCTATAGTAATAAGTTCGTACTCGTGCTTGCTTGTTCGGAAAATTCATATTTGTAATTTACGAGTATAATTATAATTCTAAAACATTCTAAAAATTCGAAAAAATTGTATATTACAAATAGAAAGGGGTTCACTATTTTATATTATAATATATATACAAGTTTTGCGCGATTTGTGACGTCAAATGTTTGTAAATGTCTCCAATAAGGTACGAGGAACTCTCTTTGCACCACGTGAAAGTTGAGATTATCGAGCAAACAAACTGCATAATCGGGCATGACGAATTTATCGTCAGATGAATTGCGCATATCGAAAAGTGGCCACAATATTCGTATGAAAATGTGACGATAAAAATTAATTTTCTTCTTTTACAATTTACTATGTCTATAGTAATAGGTCAAAACACGTTGAGTTACGTCATATCTATATAAAATTCATCCTAAACGTGTCTCTTGCGTATTTCCAAGAGATCTATGCATCTTCTAATTCCTCCCATCCGATCATGACGTATTGCTCTAGGTATTTCGATCATCTGTTTTTGATCTCATGAGACCAATGCAAACGAGTGCAGGACGAAATTATACAGGGTATCTACATTCGAATGGTCATGTCGATCGAACAAAACTCATCAACCGAAATGTCACTGGTGTCATAATTTCACCTTTTGTTCGTTTTGAAATTCGAGAATCGAGTAAAAATTGATTGCACTTTTAATGTCCTTTAGATTGTACTTTTAATCCCTTTAGACTTTAGACCAAACAGTATTATTTCTCGTAGACATTATACTTTACATTATTTTTATATTTTCTGAAAATATGCTACTTACAATTTTTGCATTTAAAGAATTCGATTGTAACTCTGAGTGAAAAATTTTGCACGCTATTTATAAAGCAGAAATTGAATGTGAAGTCAAGTAAGTTAAATTTTCAACGCTGATACGGAAAAATCCACATAAACGTCGCAAAAATATCCTCAAAAACATGTTGTATTTTTCAGATATTTTTCAAACTTAAATTGGACAAATCCTCATGTAAATTTCAAATTTCTTCCTTGCATTTCCGTGTTGTTTAGAATACATGCATCTTTTACAATTACAACGTTTTCTTCTTCATGAATGAAAATCCGAAATGATTTTAACATCGAGATAACGTCTAACTCAGCATCGAGATTCACCGAATCACTCTCGCGAACGGTGCAAACCCGCTCTATATAGCATCCAATGTACGGTCTAATGATTCCGCGTCCATCCCGGGGAGGTCATGGCGTATTCGAGACGCGGGTCGCGGACGGGAAACTGGACTTGGCAGATTTGGGAGCTGACCGAGCTTTCTATCTATAGCCAGCCGGGCGAACCTTAAATAGCCGCGGTGATCCGCGATGCGGTTTCGCACGGCGTGTAACCTGTACCCGATATACGCGACGAAGAGGATACAGGTGGGTCAGATGAATATCTAACAAGGACCACCTTACACCTTGCTCCATCATCCATGTGTGGGTGAAGGGTAGGTGACCGGGTGTTCGTCTTGCTGGTTTTGCGACGTCGGTGTAGAAGAAAGGTATACTGACCTGCAGCGGACCGCAGGTGGCTGCTGCATCGTCCTGGATGATGGTCTGACGAGGAGAGCACGTCGTTCCGGCAGAAGCGAGTCGCTCTGGTAGAACTGACAGCCGCAACGGACCTCGCGTCCGAGGCTCGACGTCGACGAAGCGCGTCGTCCTCGTTGCTCCGGCTCCATCCCCACCCCCGGAGAAACGACGCCGGTGATCCACCTCCAGTCTTCTCTTCCTCTGCCTGTCTACTTGACTTTTGACGTCGACGATCAAGAAACGACGACGACGTTTCGTAGTTCTTCTCGGGACGTCGTCCACGAGACGACGTCCCTTCGTCTCTTGGTTCAAGAGAAGAGGAAGAGACAGAGAGAGATAAAGAGAGGGAAAGAGAAAGAGAGAGAGAGAAATAGTATGGAGAGAAGGAGGCTGAGCGGTCGCTAGAGCAGCCCGCTGCAGCGGCTCCTAGCCGACTCTCTTCTATACCCTCGGCCGCCCATCGCGAACGCGACCGGAGCGAACATCAAATTATTTATAGCAGCCACCGGTATTCGGTGGACCGCGACACTGTCTCGGGAACGCCCGAATCACCTGGTGCATCTGCGGTCGTCGTCGCGGTGCGCGCGTACTGCGCCTCGTGAATCAATTTTATTCGGTGCATCGTCACTCTTCGGGGAATATTCGGGTGGCTGCTGATCGAGAAGCGGTGTGGTTTCCTCTTTCCCTTCGTTTAGTTTCGGTTCGGTAGACGTAGAAGAAATCACGTCACGATTGGCTAAGTATCAAAAGTCATGTATTGTGTTAAATACGGAGATTTGTTGGAATTATCTGGTCATCGAGCAAAGCAAATTGATGTGGCTGTGAAATATGACATGTACATGATTATTCGGAATTCTATTATCGTTCGGCAGAATTTCTCGACGATGAAATGACACTGACAAGTACCGCTAACACGGCGTGAAATTAGGGTACAGCTGCGGTATTCTACATTATATTAGCGTCTTAATTATCACTTACCAACGTCTTAATTGTCGAAGAAGGTCACTTGTACAATGGCAGCAGTACAAGTAATTTAATAATTTTTTCGCGTTATTTGAATTCTGTATAAAGTCGTAATTTTTTATCGTTATCGTACAAAGAAGAAAGTAAAAAAAATCTTGTTCTCCTACACCTCCTCGAGATCCTCGATTCTTCCAAAATCTCCTCTACTTTCGCTTATTAATCCTGAGATCTGCAGCTAGTACAAAGCAGGACCGTCTCGATAGATCTGAACAACATGTCCATCTTCAGTGTTTTTCCGATTTCGATTTGAAATGTCGAAAGACAAAAATCGTGCGACTTGATTGTGTTTTTTCTTGGACAATTTCGATGTAAATACCATCTTTCCGCAGCTCGCGTAATATGAAGAAAGCATGGAATTTCAGTCTAAGATTGTGTCACGTCTTGGCATTCGATGCCAACAACGCAACACAATATAGTTGATGACACCTAAACAAATACCAGATTTGTGTTAATGCACCTCGGTCAATGTAAAAATAAATCGTAGAAAAGAGTCGCGCAGCTGCGCTATGCATATTCTTCAAGAAATCTGCATTCGTAATTGTACATATTCGTGATTCAATGTATAAACGTGTCTCAAGATTACCGGTGTATCTTTCATGTCTTGAAAAATCGATCAAGATTAATTTTTTTATATAAAATATTAATTACAAAGTCGTTTTACGTCTTTAATCATAATATATAAATAAATAACGTAAATCGATATAATAAACTAAAATAAATATCGACGATGCATTTTTTTTTCTAAGAACCAGTTGAATTCGAATCAAGAAATGAAAATAGAAACAACACGATAATATATATTCTGAAACATTCTGTATATATATTGGATATTCTACTACGAGTGGTAAAACCGAGAAGATGATTCGACAAGCAAAAATAAATCGAGATCGATCATCCAAGCTTAAAAAAGCGCAAAAATTATAATTAACTTTTCAATTCTCGAGATCTATTTTCTTATAAATAAAATCTCATTTAAAAACAATTTAATTATATTTATTTTATTCTACAGCTTGGATTTTTATTCTCGCATGTAAAATTATCTATAAATTCTTGGTTATCATTATATATATTTAGTAGATGCGAAACATTTGCATATAAATATGTAAATATATAACATTATATCTTTTCTTTTTTTTTTACATTAGTGACATATTATACAGAGTGTTTCAGACGTAGTGTGTGTGTGTCGCTTTTAATCATCAATATTAAAGTAAATAAATATTAATGTAGACTCAAAATAATTTTTGAGGAAAGACATAAACAATTAAAAATCAGAAAATAGTAAAATGAAGATTTGCGTAAATAACGAAGTATTGTCGTTTAACTAATTTTAAATAAGATTTACTTCAACAAACCTTTAATTTAACTGTCAAGCTATTTAGTTTACAAAATTGAAGGGCGGACGGTGCTTAATGCGATGAAGTTCTCATAAAGGAAAATTCTGTTCGAAATCCATCAATGATATTCCACGACTGAAAGATGGTCCGGTAGATCTGAAACTCTCCATTCTTTGCAATACTTTATAAAATATATAGAATGTACAGCATGTGTATAAATATAATATAATACACTATGTATATATATGTGTGTGTGTGTGTGTGTGTGTGTGTAAGTGTATGTATGTGTATGCCTGTGTGTATCTGTGTGTGTGTATATTATGCTAGGAGTTCTATAACGACATTCGCTTGACGTTCGTTCGGCCGCTAAGGTCCGATATTGTGGTTGTCGTCCAGGAGGGATGATCACATGTACAAGTAAACGCGCGAAACATTTTCTTCGATAATCTTCCGACTCGCTCGTTCCGTGCGAAGTCATCATCCGTGCGGCTAACGTCAAACTTGCAGACCGCGCTCTACTTTTTGCTTATAAATAAACAAGCGGAGGAGAGAAGAAGAGACGTTGCGCGCGTGGGTGATGACGGCTCGCAAGCGACCACGATGATGCATGAGTCTCTACCTTAAGTCGCGCAAAGTTATAGCGCGAAGATAGAGAGCGCTTTTACGGTGCGTGTTTTACGAGACAGAGAAAATGCAAATATCGGGGATTGTGTTATTCGTACGAAAATTATATTGCCACTCCATATATATATATATATGTGTGTGTGTGTGTGTGTGTGTGTGTGTGTGTGTGTGTGTGTGTGTGTGTGTGTGTGTGTATATATATATATATATATAAGAGAGAGAGATATATATATATACCTATATGTTACAGTTCAAGCAGTTCAAATTCGCATTTTTTTCATCGAGCATGTAACTTTCTCGAAGAAAATCAAAAGCAGTAGATTTGTTATCTTTACATTATCAGTCCGAAGCGTCGATGCGTATAGTAGTATACACTCGTTCGATCGCCGATCGTGTATTTAAGGATTCTCGATGTTGCAGCGCAGGGCGAACGGTATAGTCGGACGGTGTTAAACAAGTCCCGTCATCTGTAAATCACGTTAAATCGCGATAATAAAGCGATATCGTGCTTCGGCGTCGCATATCGTATAACGTATATCGCAATACTACCATTCGGGATCGTTCCTCGTCTTCCCTTTGAGTCCCGGACCGAGTCACACATACACACGTGGCCGCTATCTCGCGATTACTGCGAAGACGCGGTTTAATGAGGTCTCAGTGTAACGATTTTATTGTTGCAATTGTAATTACAGTAGTCGTAATCGTAATCGTGGTTGTGAGATGGTAACAGAGTCGTGTCGGGGGCCGGGCAGGGAAGATGCCGGGGTCAGGCGAGCTCGTTACTGTCCGGGAAGTGCTCACGTGCGTCCAGACAGACGGCCAGATCGAGCACCAGATGATGGAGGGTGGGATGTTCGAGGACCTCCGCGTCCGGCAGAGGCGGATGACAGCGCGGCCTCTGCTGACGACCTCTGAACGAGCGGTGCAGATTTAGCACCACGTCGCAGAACACGTAGCGCAGCAGCAGCAGCCGCAGAAAGTCGTCGCCGAAGAACTGCAGCACGCTGGTCTCTGTGAATAGCGAGATTGTCGATGAAATAATATCGAAGAAAAAAAGGGAATGATATGCTCATTAAATATCAGATTTTTTTTCGTATATTTTTCTTTCGCATTGATTTTTTATTAGTGAGAGTTTGATAAGAAAAAGTGCATTTTAATTTTCTTAGTTTTTTTTATAGATCTCTCTCTCTCATAAGTTAAGATAATTTAATTTATTTTTCTGAAGTGATGTAAGAGCGGTGGAACTCGTAAGTAAAAAATAAGTGTTATTATTAGACAAAGCGATGTCTTCGAGATTGATTTGCCGCAGCCGTAGAATTTTCGATGACTCAGTTTAACCGAGGATTTGTCCAACTATAAAAGATATTTCGATACTATTTTGAACAAAGCACGATTGTTTGGGACAGTTTACGATACAACATGGTTTCATCTCTCGGTGAAAACAATAGTTATCCCTTACCTCACAAAGTTAAAGAGATACGCAGAAATCGAGAACGCGAGTTCGCCAATAAATTTGCTTGGATCTAGGCCAAACGTGTTTATTGTTGTAACGCGATCGTAAGTCGCATTCGGTGAGACCGGCTGCTGTTGCACTAACGAGAATACGCCCTCGTTTTGACGATAAAATCTTAATTTTGCTCGCGCCTTTTTTTCTTAATATCGCGCTATAACTGTCAAACGCCGCGCAATATTCCGGTCAAGCTAAATAAATTTCTTTTTGATAACTGTATTTAATAATTCAATCTTTTTATATATCAGTGACTTCTATCTAAAATTGTCACGTATATTTTAAACGATTTCTTAACGCTGATATTTTAGAAAGCTGATGCTAAAAATATTTTATAATAATTCGATCTAATTCGATATGATTTGAGCGTCTGATGAATTATGTTGATTTCTTTCATCTCAAATTGGAGTATAAATAGACCTTATTAAATCTGATCATTTTTTGAAATAATGAATGAATCGCGAAAAGAGAATCGAATCTCGGAAAGTTGATCGTTTTCTACTATCGAGTCCGCTCGTTTTCGTTTGATCGAAGCTCGAAGACAATGATTGCGTCTCGAGTATCCTTACCGCATCGGGAACGCGTTACGAGCTGACTGGCCTCGTTAAGGAATCGCTCGATGTAACGCTGGCAGCGCTCCCAATGTTGCACGGGCAGACTCCCGACGTTGCATATAAGGCAGAAGGCGGCAAGGGGGGCGTGAAGAAAGAGGGTGAACAGGCTGCCACCGTGTCGCAGGTCGCGCAGGGTCGAGGGTACATCCTGCGGCGACATCAGCACCATCAGAGGCTGGCCAAAGTAGCGCGGTATCTGCTGGAACACGAAGCTGTTGTCCGAGTCGACGACGACGAAGAGCGGCTTCCTGGTGAACGGATAGAGATCGCCCGGGTACAGGCAGTGCGGCTCCTTGCCCCCGGCCGGCCTCTTCCCGTGCTCCGGATCCCTCTTGCTGCACGTGGACACGCCGCCCAGGTCGTACCCCACTGTACGATCGCAACATTTTATCAACATCGTGCAATTCTGCGTTCGCCGATCAAACGGATGTCAGACAACTTTGAGGAAATCGCGAAATCCGATCTTCGCGACTTTATTTCATTTTTTTTTTATTTTTTTATTTTTGACATTTCAATGTCATTGATAATTCACGCTTAAAAATTCGAAAATGAAAGAATACGAATTTAATTAAATGATGAAAGATTCTATCTTTCTATTTGTAAGTATTCCTTTTTAAATGCATAATATCACGTTATTCGAAGGACAAATGCATAAAATTATCAATACAATTTCATTATTAATATTTCATATTAAAAATTTCAAGTGCTCTTAAATAATTATTTCTATTTTATTTATGTATTTCCCCAATGTTGCCATCATCCACCGCAACAATTATTTTTATTTCAGGTCCAAGTAAACGTTCTAAAATTTTTATACGTTTTTCGAAGCAGTTGTATTAATAAACAACAGTCGAGGAATTGATTCCGCATTATTTATATTACCAATTATTGTAATCGATGGACTCGTCTTTCTAATACATTGATATTGATTGCGAAGCTAGATTCGCCATGGTACGAATCTTTACTACGAAATAACCTTGATACTAGGACGCTACTCCATTTTCCTTTAAAGACCTTGGTTGCAACTAGCGACTGATATATAACCTTGATCTAAGCAATATGTAACCCTAGTCTAAGTTGCAATCAACTAAAGTTACACATGACATGCGGATAAATGGTTCCTAAGTAACTTTGCTTTTACTTTTATCAGGATAGATGACGTGCAAATATTTTATGAAATAGAATAATTAACTAGACACAATAATTGAAAAGATAGCATATAAATTTTCTATAAAAGCAAGTTTTTTTTCGAGACTTGAAGCTTATCGCAATATTAAATCGTAAGTGTTAATAATAGCTAAAAATAATGTATCATTCAAGTATTTTTTACGATTTAGATATTAATATGCATTTTTTACAAGCAATTCCAATTTTTTTTTAAATGTAGTGTTATGATAAAATATATATGCATCACGTGCACTAGCAGGCATCGTTTCCAAAAATTGTTTTCGATATTTATAAACGAGGAAATTGTATACACAAATAAATGTAC